CGTTATCCAACAGGTGCCAATATTTTTTATGATTTTTTTCTCGTTTTTAGGAAAAAAAAATAGATTTTAATCTTTGTTTTAACCGGAGCTGTGTCAAATATAGCGTTTTTCACATAAGACCCTGTGTTAAATAATGAATTTTCAACATTTTCATTCAGAAAAACTTGAACGACAATTAAATGAGGAAAAAAATTACGATTCCGAATCGCACAGAGTTTTTAAGCGATTTGTTGTAGTTCTTAAAAATCTTTGAATTGAAATATAACCTCCTAAGGGTAGAGCTACTTTAATTCCCTCGTCGAAATCGACGGTATACAATTCCATCGCTTCGAAACTTGCCCACACACGCTCCTTGTAATTATACCCCAAGCAAATTAGACGTGCATTCGTGGCTCACAACTTCAGCTTTAATATGTGAAAGGGTTTTCGTCATTCAAACCGCTGACTTTAAACCCCTGTGTGTCCGAAATAGTGTGGCTAGGGGTTTTGGTCTGTGTATGTTACTTGGTTAAGTTCAAACCCTTCTGTACTTTGTACACACGCATAAGCCTTATTATGGCCATAATACTCTCGGCTAGGTGAGAACCCCCAGCCATTCTCGCACGGCTAACCCTTGAAACGCCCTCGTAGACAACGACATGGCAATCACGGGTGAAAACTGTGTTTTCCTCGTTACATAACCCAAGTTTTCCGGACAAAGGAAATATCTGGGTTTATTAGGGTTTTGGGGAGTTGGTGATTATTCGGCATTCGTCGGGGTTGGGGGAGGTTATTAAATGGGGAGCTGCCGCGTGGAATGTGCGGTGAGAGTATGAGGAGAATTTTTGGAATGTCTTATGATATTAAGAGAGGGGGAGGGAAGGTTCGGGGGTTTGAGATTGTGCACACAGAAAAACCTAAACGTAAATTACGCTCATAATCACAGTTCGTATTCGTAAATTACGCTCAAAATTGTCGTAAATTACGATGATTTTTTTGGTATTCTACATTTACTCATCCGTAATTATATACATCCGTAATAGGTTTGTATCCTGTTGTATAATTAAAGTAGATATGACTAATTGAATCAACATTCCAATCCACCGAAAAAAGAGAGAAACAAACTAATTGTGTTCCGTGAAAAAAAATCGTTGTTCATGAGTTTGAATTAATTATTAATTGATTGAAAATTAGAATGGTATGCGTCTGTTGCTGTTGATTGATCTATTCAATAGTTCATATGTAATTGTCAAATTTTTGAGTTTTGTGTTTTTGACAAAATTTTGCGTTTCAGCAAAGATGAATTTTTTTCGAATTTTCAATAAGTATTTCCGACGAAAATTTTCCGTTCTTTGGATTGAGCATGGTGACAATTACACTGTTATGAACTTACTCTTGAAATTTCAAGTGAAAAAGCTTCAAATTTTTAACAAGGACAAAGTTACATGAAATTTCCGTATATTTCTTCATCAACACATCAATTAATTACTTGAATATTCAAGCAATTCTCGATTCTCAGGTCCATACGTCACTGAAAAACATTGAAAATTTTGAAAATTCAGGCTACAACTTTTCTGAATTCAAAATCTATTGAAAATTGAATTGCTTGTGATGTTCAATTTTCACGATGAGTTTAGAAATTCAAGCTTTTCTTGAAAAATCAATGATTATTTGACATGAAAAATCCAATTTTCTTGAATTTTCAAGATGAATGAGAAATGTAGTGGACGCTTTCATTTGAAATTGAATTCAGTCTCACAACATCGAAAATATAGATAACGTTGTGACTGAAATTTCAAGAAATTTCTAACAGTGTCGCTCACATTATCGGAAATGCTCTAAAATCGCCAAAAAAAGTAGAAAATTGTGCGTGGAGCCCCCTCCCTCCACCTCGATTGAAGATTTTTTTATTTCTCCACCCAAAGTGATGATTTTTACGAAACATATTACAAAATTCGCCAAACACTCGGATTCGTTCTATCCAAAAAAATTTTTTTTATTTTCTTTTTCTTTATTTTTCTCAATTTTTCATTTTTTTATTTTTTCACTTCAAAATTCATTATTTATTCACCATTTATGGACCATAATGGTTACGAAAAATTAAGAAACTACAAAAAAGCCATTTCAAGCGTTGAACATGATGTTCTTTCGACAAATTACGCACAAGAAAAACGTAAAATACGTTCGTTACGTTAAGATCGTAATTTACGCTTTATTAAACGTAAATTACGTTTTGCTAAACGTAATTTACATTTTGATAGACATAAAAGACACTTTGTTTAGGCGTAACTTACGTGTAGGTTTTCCTGTGTGTATACTGCTCTCATTCAGAATCCAAAGAAGCCAACACCACTAAGAGTCGAGGCATTGATGCTCCCCTCCAACCCGTCATCAATGTTATGAAGAGCGCTGACTGAACGACTTGATATATAATACCATCAATTAGCCCTAGTACACTAGACGATAGACACTCGACACAATGTACCTCCGATACTCCACATATCAGTAGCGGAAGGTAACCGAAGGTGGAAACTGAAGGGTTTCCAGCAGTAATATACCATCGTCGTCAGTACTCCATGTGCCTCGTTACGATTAAATTCTCCCGCTGAGGATTTACGCCAGCAACTCTCCGCCAAACTCCATCTGCCTCGCTTGCACGCACTCGCGATACTCAAACTATGGGATCTAATTCAATCTAACGTACCGAGAATCCCGAGGGAAGCGCTCGAGAGGGAATAATCATAATTATTAGATGTTATTCGAGCGAGCTGGAATTTACGTTCGTTCGAAATTCCCCATTTCTATAGATTACCTTCAGCTGCACTTTAACCATTCAAAATTCAATAGTAGTTATATTTAGGAACTGCAATGATCATTATCATCACCAATCGGTGAATTATTGGAGTCTGCTTTAATCACTCACCTTGGAATTACCGGGGACATTTCGGTTTATGGTATTCGGTATGGATCTTCTTATTAGGTTGGTAGTTATGAGTCTATTTCCCTAATGGATATCGCGGATTCTATCTCAGTGCTGAATATTGTGGGATTTCATTATTGCAGCTGATGGAGGAAGCGTCAATTTGTGTCAATTTTCGTCTGAAGTTTTCCGGGAAGGAGATCAAATTATCATGTTTGTTGAGAGGAGTTGATGTGAAAAAAGGATGGCTCGAGAGGGAAGTGATAAAATGTTAATTATTTTTCATTATTGATTATTCTATTTGGGAACTTGATCGCTGAGTGGGGAAGCAATTTCAGTTCAACGGAAAAGTTCTCTCGATATCACTTAGCCACGAATTCTGTCGGTGGACAATCAATTTGAGAGAAGCAATGATTTATTCTTTAATGAGTTGAGCTGAGAAGGATTGTTTGATTGAACAAAGAATTTTTTGTCAAAAATTGCTGGAAGTCAAAGAATTTTAAACGAATTCTCTAAAAATTCAAGGAAATTTGGCCGTGAATATTGATTTCCACTTGATAATTCATGTAAATTGTGGAATTTCCGTTTCCCTGCCGCAAAAAATTGGGAGAATTTTTAGGAACTTGAAATTTTATTGACATTTCCCCTTAACGATAAACGGTGAGGTAAAAAAAGCAGCCAATTTTACGATATTTTTAAAGGACATTCTTTGATATATTCTGTATCATTTTCTTTTAAAACTCCGTGTTATGTTGCCACTTCTGAATTAATTATTATCAATAACACTAGACAGCCAATTGAGCTGAATCAGAATGTTTTTATTCATATCAACTTCCGTTTATAATTTATTTCAGATTTTCATCTTCAAAATTTAAGTTATGTTTATATTACAGGAAGGTAGGGTAAAACGGGCCAAGCGAGCAAAACGGATCCCTAGGGCAAAACGGACCACTGACAGAGAATTGATAATTTTTGTTTCCATTTGGAAGCAAAAACAAAAATTCAAAGTCATTTGTGGTTTGAGGTGATTAGCAATTGTCTATAAAACCCTTGTGACAGTTACGATCCATGAAACTCATTTTTAATTCAACACATCCAGTGTTCCTGATTTGAAAGAAAGAAAAAAAACGAAAATTACCAATTTTCTGTCAGTGGTCCGTGTTGCCCTACCCTCCCCTATTTTTAATTGATTTCAAGCTCTTTTCGTAAAATTCAGCCCAATTTTTTTAACAATGCAGAAATAACCCTCTTGTGTGGTTCCAATCCTGATCGAAATGCTAGGAATATGAAGTTAAAGGTTGCGCCGCTGGTCATCGCAAGCAATAAATATAACTCGTCCCATCCATATACGTCCATAACCCCATTTATGATGGAAAGAAATCCACCATGGAATATCCAGCACTGAATGAAATCGAAATTCGCAGTCATTGTGAATTGGATATATCCATCCTACATAAAACTACTCTCCAGGTCAATCCATTAACCGTTGCACGGTAGTCTCACCGGATGGGTAGTTGTGTCGGAACTGTCGTGCTTTCAAATAAATCCCTCCCGCCCTCCTCCCCTCTCTCCCTGTCCATTCTCTCTTTATTCGTTCTCCTGCCAGCCGTTTCATTTTTGTTTTTATCTTCTTTAAACAAACGTTGAATCCCGGCGCCGGTTCTCACACTGCCCATATACACCAGGTTCTTTTTTATTATTATCACCGTATGGGTGACGATTGCCAATGGTTCTAGCGAGTTTCTCACTTCCGTCTCCATTTAACGCTCCCTCTGTTCATCTGTCATTTAACTTGGTTTACGAATCAGTATTTCTGTGTGATCGTAACAGCCCTCACGTCGAACTTGTTACAGCCGGTTTTGTTCGTATGCGATGTATGGGTGCACTGTAGGCCCTCTATTGCAACACAAGTTCCCAACTATTGCTTCACATCCATGGAGTTTTACTCAGCCACTAAACATCAAGCGAGTTTCGTGTAATTTCCGGCTTGTGAATTTCCCAACTTGCGATCGAAAATTATCATCAAAGCCAAAGCGAACATGTGTTTGTGAGCTCGTCCTCTATTCGTTGGATTTATATTTTTTTTTGTTTTGTGTTTCAGTGGTTGAGGAGGCTGAGGAAAAACAGGAGGAGGAGGAGGAGAACGTTGAGAGCTTCCTGAATAATGAAAATGGTCAGTATATTTGGAAGGGTTATTTTGTACTCTAGTGGTTGGACTTGTAAAAGTGAAAGGTGACGCTGCTGGTGAAGGAGAAATTGTCGATGGGGAAATTAAGGGGAAATTTTGCAGCTGATTTTTTGGGGGAATCTTGTTTAATTCCAGAAAAACTGTCCGGACAGCTCTTCACACAGAAAAATGATAGCTTATTTTTGAATTTCAAAGGTGTTTAAATAAGATTTTCATCATTTGTGTGTAGAGGGAAATATTACGCACGAAAGAATAAAAAATACAATAAACCCCTAATTTAATTACGCGCAGTCGTTTTCTAGTTACTATCATATTTTTCATGAAATTTCAAAAAAGTAGGTGTAATTGATTTGAGGTGAAAATCAATTGATTATTTGGAAAGAAATATTCACTTCAATCAGAATAAACCTCTTCCAGTGAAATGAAAGTATTATTCCTTCTCCCAGGAAACAATTTTCGTTCTTCCTTTCATCACATTTCTCTTGAGCCCTCTACATATATCAACTCTCTGCGAGATTTTTAATCACGAAATTCATTAATTTTTAGATGAGAACAATGACGAGTTCGACGAGGAAGAGGAGGCTGAGGCAGAAACGCAGTATGAGGAAACGAATTTCAATTTTGATGAGTTCTTGAAAAGGTACATTTATTCAATAATCCTCGAGAGCATCACCCTCGCTGAGGATTGTGGAGGGAATGGAATAATTAATTTTTGTCCTTTGTGCATTTCAGATTTGCTAACGTAAAAGTAGTGAAGGCTATGGCCGTGGTTTTACGTCATTTTGAAGAGAATTCTACCGAAGTTAATCATTATGTGGTGAAAATGCTGCACAGAATCGCCTGGGACTGTAAAATGCCAGCGATGATCTTTCAAGCTTCGATCTTCAGAATTTTCCAGAGGATTCTGGATTCTAAGCATGGAGAGCACAAGGTTGGTATCCGAATATTATTTACGCTGATCTATTTTACGTAATGGCGTGTACTGGGGTAAAATGGACAAGTGAGTGAAAGGGATAGCGGGGTAATATGGAAAAATGACGTAAAATAAGCTTCTGCGTTGAATTATTAGCTCTTCACTGAGGAGAACTTCTTTGATGAGATTATGCGTACAAAAACGAATCGACGGAGAGATTCCGGAGAACGAAATATAAATATAAACAATGATTTCATAGGGTAACCCGAGCTGAGGGTTCTTTATGTTCAGGTGATGAAATGGCGATATTCTTTTGGTCTTTGATTGGCTTTTTAGTCTGCTGGAGCAGTACGTAGAGTACAGACGTTTTAGGAATGTTTTAGATTGTCAGCCTGTGAAGCCACAAAGGTGTGAGAGGAGTGATAGAACCACAAAAAAGACAATCGGTTATATGAAACAAGAGGATAATAAGACAGAGGATAATAAGAAGTTAATTAGACAGTTAATTGTATACCATAGAAGAAAATAATGTGCAAAATGACCATTCGGAAGCATATTGTTAATTTATTAGCAACAATAACTATACCATATGAAGACAAAAGCAATTTTCCACTTGTATTTCTCTGTATCTGTTTTCACTAGTCACTGATTAAGGGTGAATATGGACTTATCCATCAATTTCATGTCACAAAAAAGTTCGGACCTGTTACAAGATGAGAATGAAAGCGCTTTCATTCCACAATTCATTCTTAAAGTAACTTTGAAAGTTTGACAAATTTTTTATCTGTCGTAACTCGAAATTTTTTGAGTGGTCTTACCAAATACAGTTGTATTTATTAACATTATTCTCGTTTCACGAGGGAAAAAACTATCTAAAAAGAAACTCCAATTCGTGAAATGTTCCAGGAGTTGCAGAAGTTTGCCATCTTCATAATTCGTCGTTTCGCTGAGACTGCTGAAAAAAACCGGAAGGCGTACATGGAGCTACTCTTCTGGAAGAATACTCGCGAAGCAACTGAGATGTTGGATGGCTATGACGTTGAATTTGTGAACAAAAAAGTTTCCAGCGCCGTATGGACAGAAGTGGAGGAGGATGAATTACGCACTTTGTTCATGGAGCATCAAACTAATAAGTACCGTCAAGGTAATAAAGAACATTGCTTGAGTAATTATTTTTACATTGACGGCTGAACGATGAAAAATTACATGAAAGTACAGGGGATATTACATGTTTGAGTTGAGGGAATAAATGGTTCGGTGAGGAGAAGAAAATTAGTGGAGAAATTAGAGTTGACGTTTTACGCCAGGATAATTAGTAAATAATCGGTAATTAATGGTTTTGAAGAAATAACATTCAGAAGTTACTTCGTAAGAATATAACAATATTTCGTCTTAAGCGAAGGTGACACAGCTTTTTCGAAGTACCACAAGTATTTCATGAGAACTTTCAACTGATTTTCTCCCATTTTTTCATTATGTTGAAAAAAGTGTAGGCATGAAACATCACAAAATTTTCATTTTCCAATAACATTGAATTTTCATTCAACAGACAAAAATGCGTAATTTCAAATTCCATACGATTGATTTTGCAGAAAATCATATCGAACGCACAAAAAAAAATTCGTTGAAAAATATTGAAAATTGCAGGACTAGTGCGGTTTGTAAAAATTGGAAATTTCAGATTTGACGAATATAATGCTTTCATTCGCAATCAAACTTTCAGATTTGATCGATTGGATCCTCGAGAACATCATCAGTGACAATCGCACAAGACGTGGAGTGATAAAGAAACTCAAAGAGCTCCACCTGATTGTAAATTCCCAGGTAAATACCCCCCACCGTCAATTAAAAATCTACCGACTAATTACCCTGGGCCGTTGCTAGCAGTAATTAGAATTTTTTCCAAGTAAACATGCAAGAAAAGATGGAGCAAAAAAAGCTTCAGAAAAGCAAAATAGGAAGAGCGAGATGGTAAACTCTGTGCACTTTTCCCACTCCCCTCGAGTATAACAATTCCAACTTTTTTCTTGCCTGCATCACTAAAGGGACGCTTTGTTTTAATCTTTCACTAAATAAGCATGAATTATCACTCCCACCAGACAATAACTGTGGAGGCGAGTGGTGGGAGACTCAAACGTAGAAAAAACCATTCTCCCTGTATTAGGCGTTGAGTTAAAACATCGATATCTGAAAACAGTTTTCACTGCCAGCTTTTTTCTTCCACACTCTTTTTTCAAATATCCACTTCGCATCTCACCCTTTTTTACCCCAACGATCGGATTCTGGCACTACACCACACGCGGTTTTTCTCATCCCGGTTTCCCTACAGCCGTACGTTCAACGCCCTCAAAGAAACAAGATCAATGATTTAGTGGAGAAAATAAAACATCAATAGAATGAAAAAAAACTGGAATACTCAGGGGAGAACTAAATTCCCAAACGTTGAACATATTCCAGGATGAAAAAAGGCACGAGGAGAGGAAAATATTTAAGGAAAATACGAGGTAAAATGTGGATCCGCTAGGAATTGAAATTCCAGTGAGACAATCCCCCAGAAATTTTTGTTTGTCTGATATGAAATTACTTCATCTCCTTCGTTCCAATTTCTTTTTCTCATTGTCTCGAAAACTTTTTCATTTCTTGATTGTGAAATACTCCAAACCTCTGAAATAATACGTCCAAATGATATTTACCTGGACCTAGAATTAAAAGAAAAAAACTTGGAAGAATGCATAATCACGGTTTCGTATTTTACACGCAGTTTTCATTTTAACGTCATTCCTGCTGCTTTAGTTGTTTCTTTACGATTCTTTCTTTTCGTATAAAACGTAAATTTAGAGTTCATTATGAAGGGCTTAACTTTGTAAAGGAGAGAAAGAAGACGCGGGAGTGGAAGGGGGAGGAGGAGGAAAAAGAAACCGAGTAATGAAATTTTTCTTTGATTCTTTTTGTTTCAGAGAATAAGAAGTGAAGTACAGAAACGTCTACCGAAAGAGTGGAGAGAGGAAGAAATTGCACAACTGACGGAGATGTGGGAGAGAGTGAAGGATGATGACGGTAATAAAAGTCGTATCTTGTTACTTTGGAATTAATTTTTTTCTTTAATTACTTCAATTGCATCAGTTTCTGTATCCGTGGAAGACGAATTTATTCAAGAAATAGGTTTCAATCGAATTAGCGGGCGATACCGCTCACTCGGTTTTCTCGACAATTACGAGTTGTGAACTTTTTTTTCTTACGATGTTTGAGGTGATGGAACTAGGTAATTTCAGAAATAATACACGGAGACAATATGAAATCATTTTTTACTAAGTAAACATAGTAATCGTGGACCATAGGCGCTACACTCAAATTTTACAGTTGAACATAGTAAAAATTGCGAATCGGTATAGTACAAAGTTGTAGAATAAAAGTAAAATTTAAATTGACGCTAGTAAAATTTCAGTCAAGCTAAATCACATTTTAAAGTTGTTTCGGTATGGCCCTGATTAGTATGCTCACATTGTAATCTTTGATTTTATATTCTCCTCGTGTAAAGTACTTGGATATCTTCAATATAAAAAAAAACCAAATGAAGTTTTGAGGCCCTTGCGATGTACAATTGGTCGATGAGTAATTATTTTATATTTTAAATTCCCAAATTGTCGTACAAAACTGCTCTCATTAGATTGCCGGTATTATCTTACGCGATTTGAGTCCAATTTCAAGTTTTTACTCGATTGAGGTTAATAATTAGATTTTTTCCAGTCGATAGATTAGGATATGCACGCATGAAAAAATTCAATAGAAAACCTCGCGAATTCGCTCGAAAATTCTATTGGAATTCTATGGGAATTCTATGGGAATTCTATCGGATTTCTACTGGAATTCTATAGAAAAAGTCTATTTGTTTTTTGCGCTGATTCTATTATGTATTCAATAACGATAAATGTCAGTAGATTTCGAATTTCTGTTTAAATTTTGATCTTAAATTTTTTCTATTAGGATTATTGGGCACAAAATTTTTTGAGTTTTTTCCGCTGGATTTTATTTTGTTTTGCATTATAGAATCCGAGTGGAAAAAACTTAGAAAATTCATGCGCAAGCATTCTCATAGAAAAAATCTCAAGAGAAAAATTTAAATAGAAATTCAAAATGTATTGACTTTCTTTTATCGAATATCTGATAGAATCAGCGCAAAAAACAAATAGAATTTTTCAATAGAATTTTCTGGCGAATTCGCTAGATTTTTTATTGAATTTTTTCATACGTGTGACTTATTCTTTTGCGAGTTCTGACATAAAAATTCTTGTGTATGAATTTTTGAAGAGTCCATTTCCTTATTATGGAATCAATTCTGCATGAATCAATGAATCATTGATATTGCGTGTTTTCTACAAGTATATAATGCATGAATATCCAGATAAAACATTTATTTGAATCGAATAAATGGCAAAATCGTGTTCGCTGCCCCAATCGTTGATCAAATTAGTAGGAAACGTTTTATTGCTGGTTTTCATCGAAAATCCATTAAATAAATTTGTTTTATCAACGTCACGAAAATTTCCGTGTCTAATGCAATTGTTTCATTAATTCAAGAATATTTATTACCCACGTGTGTCATTTCCACGAAACGAAACCCGCGCAAATCGAACAATCATTAAATATGTACTGCAAACTACGAGTGTATTATATATAAATCTGCATATAGAACATTGATTTCAATCTAACTAATGGTATAGTGATGTTGCCACCAGAATTATCGGTTAAGGCCCGGTGTACTATCTTTCGGACGTTATTTCAATGTTTTTTTTCATCTTTCGTCAGCTGAAATTGTCAATTAAGTCCTGCATCATGCAGAAGTTTTGAAAAATTACGAATGAATAATCAAAAAAAAGTAGAAAAAATTCTCAATTTTTGCAAAGTGCATTTTTAATTTATGTTCAGAATAAGTTGAATAACAATAAATTGAAAAATGTATCTGATTTACGGTGACAAATGACGGCCTGGCACCCAATATCATGCAGGGGGAAGACTGATTTCGTAAATCTTTTCCCACACTGCACTGAGACATTTATTACGGAAAAGGCTCTTTGAATAAAGTTGTAATATTTTGGAGAATTTTTTAATCACACTTTTATCACATAAAAATGGCAGATGACTACATACACCATTGTTTTGAAAATTGAGATGCCTAGCTGTCACTTCCCATGAGGAGTTAGTGTTTTGTTATCCATTATGGAAAATGACAGCTAATAGATAATTTGCCACAGCGAATCAGATATTTGTAATTTCCACTTTTTTCAACTCGTTCTGAATCTCAATTAAAAACGGTCTTTGAAAAAGTTCAAAATTTTTTCTATTTTTTTTATCATTCTATTATAATTTTTGGGAATTTCTACATGATGTACCACTCAATTGACAATTTTGGATTACGAAAGATAAAAAAAATTCAGATAACATTCGAAAGATAGTACACCCAGGCCTTAAATCAGAAAGTATTGTCGGCCAAATCATTTCTCATCAAATCCCGCCGAATCAATTTGTTTCATTAATAAACAAATAATTGTGGAGGAATTACCATAAAAACTAAATATCTTTCTTCACACGGAGAAAAAAGTTGGAGAAAAATTACCGAACCAGTCAAGAAATCGTAGACCTAACACAATTTTCAGTAATTTTTCACCCTCATATCGGAAAAATTTGACTCGAAAAAATTTACTGGAGGTGAAGGTAATTTCTGCCGAAACTGTGAAATTGTCCTGCTTTCCATAATAAATTATCCCAGTGAATGACTCAAACATAACATGAAAAAAATATTTTTGTAAATTTCCACGTCAGTGAAAATTATACGAAATATTGTGTTCGATATTTCGTATAATTTTTCGATAACGGATAATGATTTTCTACCGAAAGAGAACACAACTCACAGGTGAAGTGAACAGAAGAAGTGAATTGGAGCTTTTCTGTCTTCATTTCATGACAAAATTGACCGAGAAAATTACATGATTTAATTTTTAATTAAATTCAGATCCAGTTGAACTCATTCACGATGGCTTGAGGATAAAACGACCAAAGCCGAAAATAAAAGAGAAGCTTCTCGAGTTGGGATTGGCTCAGGACAGAAAGGAGCTTCGCAAAAAACGCCAGAAGAAAATCAATCGCGGTGAGTCTTTATTCGATTTTCTATTTTTTTTTCATTCTCTACTTCTTTACAAAACAATTTGTTCAATTTATTATTCTATCGCTGAGGGATTTATCTGTTTTCTTCCTTCCGCTCTGCATCAGTTTACTAATTGGTATCTGTTTTATTGTTTTGGGCTTGGGAATCGTGGAAAAATCGTAAAACACCAGCCGAGGTTGTTATGAGGGGAAAATAGGTGCAACCATGGGGTACACCAACAATGAACAGTTCCACGTAACTGGCTTTTTACTCGGGCTAAACATTACTGGTGTCGTGTTATCGTTCTGACACCTCACTATCTCCTCTCCCTTGTTGTCGCACTTCGTGTCATGCGGTATGACGCAAATGTATTCGGGCCTTCCGACATTTTAACGTTGCATCGTATTTTGACGTGAAACTCCACCAGATGTCTACCTTTTCCTTTCAACCTTAAGCGTTTCAATTTATTTCGGTTAGAGAAACTGTGAGATGAAGGCGGGATTTACATAATTTTGTATGAATCAGTTTTTTTGGTTCATGGAATTCATGAATTGGCTGGAGTGAGGAGCCGGTGAAATGTTGAGAAATGCTGGAATGGCGAAGGTCTCATAATTTCTGTGGTCTTTATTTTCAACCCTCCACGACAATCAGAGGAGAGGTATATGCATTTCTGATCAGGAGTAGTTCTTAATCACTCACCAAAATTTTGAGAATTGACGTGAATTTATCCCTGAACTAATACGCTAGTTGCGTATCTGATAAAGGGCACTGGTAACGCTGTCTCACCATCGTTTTTTGGCAACTTTTGGGTGACAGTGACCAACTTCGTAGCTCCGTCCCTTGAATTTTGAATTCAAACTAAACCTTCAAATAGACAAACGACTCGCATTTTTCAAAGTAAAAACGACTGAATTCAAATCGACAAGCGACTCACATTTTTCAGTCGTTTTTACTTTTTTTAGTCGTTTTTCTTTGTCATTTTTCAGCCATGTTTCGAAGTAAAAACGACTGAAAAATGTATATTATGGTACTCGTTGGGGCAGCTGTTCAGGAATTTTTTACGCATCCGCCCCCCCAAAATGCTCGAAATAAAAAAAAATGATCGTCTAAAAATTTCACCTATTTCAATTCTAAAACACCCACAAGAGCCTTGCCTTGTCCGATAAGAGTAACACGGGAATAAGACAATTCCCATAAGCAAAAAACATTTTTTCCTATGAAAATAATTGTAGTATTGTATGTCGTGAACGAAAAACGAAAAATTTCTGTGAAAAGTTGTTCATTTACTCAGTAATTTCCCATGATTATAACATTTTCAGTGACATAACAGGGGGGGGGGGAGTATAGATTCGTATTTTTCATGATAATCCCGTGTTATTCTCATGGGAAAAAACAAGACTCTTGAGAATTGAGAAAGACAGTTGAAATTTTAAGAGGATTTTTTTTCTTAACGGGCACCCTAATGTATACAGGGTATCCCAAAATGAAATGTCATCCTCGTGAGGGTAGTCGGGGGGCTCATTTGGAGACGAAAACTATTAACATTTTTCTCTCCGACGCTTTATTCAAGAGTTATTGATCGAAAATGCAAAGATCAGTCGCGAAATAACCTCCTGTGAAAATCATTGTCCCATGAGACGGAGGAATGAAAAAGATGGCAATGAATGGAGCATTCAATGCGAAATAGATCATTACGAATTTTGTTCCTCTGTGACCAAAACGGGGTGAGAAAAACTGCGAAAAAATTCACCGCGATGCGAAAGCCATTTTTAAAGTCCACGTCAAAAAATCCATATCGTCTCTCTCATTCTATATCGAGGGATGCGATGGATTGGAATCGATAAGACATCCAATGCCTTCGCCTGACCATATTGAATGGAGAAGACGATATGATTTCTCTAACGGCCAAAAACATTTAATCAGCGATTCATTTTATTTGATAACTCTTGAACAAAGCGTCGGAGAGAAAAATGTTATTGGAGTTTTCGTCTCCAAATAAGCCCCCTGGACTATTCTTACGAGGATGACATTTCATTTTGGGACACCTTCTACAATATGGTGTGGATTCCAGTCAGTTCATGTGCAGGATTGCCTTGAACTGGATATGAATTTTGCATTATGATTTAATTCAATTCAAGTGTGGTTATAAAATTGAATGGTTGGTCAAAATTTAAAAAAGTGGAAAAAATTGCAATCATCTGTTTTTATTAAGTCAAGTATAATGTTTGGACAATTCAATTGACAAAACTAATTTCTTTCAATTGTTCGATCTTACCAGTCAATGGCAATTAAAGAACAACGACGCGCTGCTGCGTTTCTCTCATATGCTGATCAATCTAAGGTTAAAATCGATTAAATTCTGCACGAATATAGCTTTAACCCGCCAGAACGTAAAAGACCGCACTTCTGTCGGTCGAAATTCAGGTGAAGGGAATAATAAAACCGAATGCCCCTTGCCCTCCAAAATTGTAGACATTTTTTTTCAAGCTTTCCAGCACATCAACAATCGCGATAACTTTTGCAATAAAATTTTAAGCTGCAATCTAGTAACGATGAGTCAGTAGAAGAATGTTTACATATAGAAACATCTGGAATCTTCAAAAAGAATGAAATCACATTAATCATAATGTCGCCATCGCTGCTGGGTGCTTTGTATTACGGAAAAAACAAAAATACCCTAGTTGCAGAAATAATATACTACATTTTAATACTCAACTAGTGATAACGCGATTGAATCCCAAAAAGTTCTCTATCTTGGAACCTTTGACTTTCATTGAATCTCTCAATGATAATTGACCTGGATGAGACGTCAGGGTCACCCAGCTAGATTGTGATATATTGAACAAGTGCTTCATAACACCATTGGAGATTAGATTGACTCTAGCTGTGACGATGCGCATGTCGCTGAAAATGTGGTATCTCCTCTTTCTCCTGTGTATAACAAAAGTTTTATCGAGTGATGAAAATCCCAGTGTGATTATCATCGGCGCGGGATCAGCTGGCATCGCGGCAGCTTCGAAATTACTTGAAAATGGAATCAACGATGTTACGATTCTGGAAGCACAAGACCGGATTGGGGGCAGAGTGTACAGTACAAAAATGGGTAATTTATCAGCATTTCAAATCGTCGGAGGAGATGGATTTTCTCGAGGATGAATCACTTTTGCAGGAGAGTACGTGATAGATATGGGAGGACAGTGGGTTCACGGAGAGGAAAAGAATGTTGTTTATGAGATGGCGTGGCCTCTTGGTCTTTTGACGCACCGCAATGGCCCTAATGATGGGTCGTCTTTTTTCAATGTGGGCTTTCAAACTCTGGCACGGACACTAGGATCGGAAGAAGATGCTGCCTTAATGATGCGGAATACTTGGAGTTCTGTACAGTATTTTGGATCATCCGGGGAAAGAGTAGATGGTGAAATTGCTCAAGACATTACTTCTTACTTCTTCAACATCACATCAGAGTGGCCAGGAGTGGATGATTCGAAGAGGGAGTCTGTTGGTGAATACTTGGACACCAAGTAAAATCATTTCGTAAATGACTGTCAATTTGATGTTTGCAGTATCTAATGCATCCTTTTTACATGACAGGTTCAACGAGTATTTTGATCAGCACAAGGATATTCCCGATAATCTGAAGAAACCGTTGATGAATATACTACACCAGGCACAAATGGCTATTAACGGCGCTGAAGATTTGTATCAAGTATCCGTGAAGGTTGAGAGGGATTACTTTGAGGAAGGCGATAGACTCATCAATTGGAAAGAGAAGGCATACGGGACTATCTTAGATATATTAATGGTTTGTCTAAGAAAATCGAGAATAACATCCAGAAAAAAATCGTTGTAGTGAGATTTCAAAGATCTTGAGTTGAAACTTTCGGAAGTCTCAACTTGAAAGTTTCGAAAGGATCAACTTGAGACTTTTGAAAGGACCAATGGAGATTGTTAAGTCTTAATTTCAGACTTGAAAATCTCCACTTTTTCCCTGTGAGTGTCTCAAGTTGAAACTTTCGAAAATTCCAATCTGACACTTGAAAATCTCAATTTTAGCCTTTTATAAGTATCAAGTTGAGACTTGACAATATTACATTGAGATTTTCATGTTGAAAATTAATGTTTTCAAGACTTGAATTGAGACGTTCGAGTGTCTCAATTTGAAACTTTCCAAAGTCTTGAGACATTCGAAAGGTTCAGCGTGAGACATTCGAAAGTCTCAACTTGAGATATTCGAAAGTCTTGACTTGAAATTTTTGAAAATCTTAAGTTGAGAATTTCAGAACTCAATTTAAGCTTTGCAAAAGTCTTACTTGACACTTTTATATGTTAATTTGAGATCGTAAGTCTCAAATTCGAATTTGCTTCTTTTTTGGTGAAGGCATCATCAGCTGGCAATTTCGTTAAATTCTTTCAGAAAAAGTATCCGAACCCCGAAGAAGAGCTGCCCGTAATGAACAAGACTTTGTTGAATAAGAAAGTTTTGAAGATTGAAGCTGGAGTTGACGGACCAGTTAACGTGAAAACTTCCGATGGAAATGAGTATACGGCGGATTACGTAATATTCACACCGTCATTGGGAGTCCTGAAGGCGAATCATAAGAGTTTATTCGAGCCAAATCTGCCACCCAACAAAATCAATGCAATAGAAGTACAATAAATAAATCCATGCATAACGTCTCATTGATTTCAAAATCAAAATGAGATAATATTGAGCTTTTTTTCCAGAATATAGGTATGGGCCATGTCGGAAAAATTTACTTATTCTACGATGATCCCTGGTGGTCGAGTGCCCTCGATACCTTCTATAGATCAATACTTTGGTTCGAAGATGATAAGAAAGCACTAGCGAGTGATGTATGATTTTAAATCAATAACTTAGAGAAAAATTTGTAACATAAGGTGATATTGAATACAAAATTCTAGCCCGAAAGGAGATGGATGCTATCGGTCTATTCAGTAAACCGAATAGAGTGGAAGCCCAAGGTCATATGTCTCTGGATGGCTGGTCCGAACATCAAAGAAATGGAGCTGTTGCCGGAAGAGTTAGTGAAGAATCAATCTCTCTGGTTGCTCACCAAATTTTTCGGCAAATTATACAATCTCACGGAGCCCTCGGACATGAAGAGAACCCAGTGGAACTCGAACGAAAATTTCCTCGGGACTTACAGCTACCCAAGTCTCGATACTGAGAAGCACAATGCAACTGTTCTCGACCTTGCGAAGCCCGTAATGTGTCGTAATTGTAGCAGACCAGCTATCATGTTCGCTGGTGAAGCCACTGCTGATATCTATGGGACTGTCAACGGGGCCATTGGATCAGGCTGGCGTGAAGCAGAGCGTATTATCAACTCCCAGAAATCGATCCAGTCCTTGAAAGAGGGAAAAAAGTCAAAGAGATTTGTCAACATTTAAGGCATTAAAAGAATTCTTTATCCATGATACAGTAGAAGTGAATTCGTAATTCACGGATAAGTACTAATTTTTTCATATTCAACTTCATTGTTCATTGAATGTCAACAAACGCAGCTGAAAACAACTGATTCTCTCCACAAGAGGGAGTAAAATTGCGGAATGAAGTTAAAATCAATATTTTCGTATGTAAATGAGAAATTGCAGCTAAATGAATTCCATTTTTCGTCCACAAATTGACGAGTTTGCTCTTAAGGAATGGAAGTGCTAAGAAAATCGAGTCTCATAGAATATTCAAGGGATATAAACAATTCACTTGCATGAATCTATCATCCCCGGTTACAGGTATTCCAATGAAAATTAAAAGCGGATGTAAAATTTTTCATTTCTTCGATGCGAACGTATTTTCATTTCTACATAGAACTTAATTAAGTTTGGAACGAATTCATGTAGAGGACTGAAATTACGTTAGACGAAGCATTTTTGAAGCTTTCATCGAAAGAAATTGTCGGATAAAATAGAAATGAACTTTTCTGAACGCCAAAGGGAATCGAATTTCATAATTTTGTTCTCGTTCAGACGCTTATTACTTAGATGTCGGGGGAATCCAATAAAATGATGAGAAATACGGGCATCAAACTGGTGAACAAGAGAGATTTTACGAATGTCTTGATGGAAACTACTTCGTTTAAGGAAGAATATCAAAAAATCGGGGAATGGTCTATTGACAATTAAATTATTCCGAAACTCTACTATCGAGAACTATTTTCACAATAATTGGCATAACTGTTTTGGAATTATTCCCTCGTCTGCATCACTGAATTTGGATGGAATGTTCTACAGAATTTGAGAATGGAATGCAATTACCGAATACTTTGATGTCCAAAAATTTCCAAAAATAACTTCTCTCGATAATTTCGCAATTATTGTCAGAAATGTGTAATTAATATTGAACTCAACATCATTGCGAGAAAATGACACATGCGGGGCAATGAACCTCACCGGCAAAATCAAGCGCTGTCAAGCCATTCTGAACCAAAAACTTCCAAAGTTCTGCTTACATTATAAGCGAATGGGTGATCGTAACTCAATGAGAAGTTTTTACAATAGCGTCAGAGAGAAGTTTGATTCTTGTGGAGAAAGAGGATTATTTCATCGAAGGATGCACAACTAAAAACCTAAAGAATTTACATTCAGAAACTTTAATCAATTGTAAATACAAAACCAAAACACTTTCGAAATTTCAAGATCCAAAGTAAGCGGCTATCAAAATTTATAAAGTACTTTCCAGAAATAAATATTCAATTGTTGCTTCTTCTCTATTATAAAATTTGTATTGTAAATTGAAATTGAAATTCTAGTTTGATTTTAAGTCTTTCGATTGTATTTTAAAAAAATTGAGAATATAGAAGATTACTTTTGAGCATACAATTTTTTCGGAATCTTTTGATTATATCCAATACATCAAATCTTCCTTATTCCTGAATTTTCTTTTTGATATTCCAAATAAGTAATATCAATCAAGGTAAGAGAGAAAAATCAAACATAGTGTCGCCCAAATCAAAATCAATATATAGAAATATTTGGCTTAATTATCTATTCATGATGTAGCTTTTCCATGTATCTATATTAAAAATTCGGTCCATTGCTTCGCAACTCATTCTTCACTCAAAAAGTACAGAGAATGACTAGTGGTTGCATAATCTTCAAGTATCTTAAATTGAAACCGAAAAAACCTCTTCCACTTGTTGACTTAACTTTCAAAACATTATGAAAATGTTTTGCCTCTAAAAAATCTTGTTTCAAGACATTAGAAATTTCATTCATCACAAATCTGATTTTTACCCCTCACATCTTAAATTAGAAAGTCTTCTAGACACTAATTTTTGTACATATTGAAATTTATTTCAACGAAAGAAATCAATTCTAATCATCACTATTTTGACAATTAACTTCTCGGTGTTCTACGTTGATACATTAAAGCTTGAGTATCACCAGCAAAGCAGCAAATCAATTAATACACCATGACTCATGACCCCATGGCAAATAATATCCAGCATTTCAATGTATTCTTCCACCTGTCTAATCCTCTCAATGAATTCCCAATCATTAAACTATGTGCTATGACAATCTACTAATTTATCGCGTCAGTGAATCGTAATTGGTTACAGAGAAATTTTCAGCTCACTCAGCTCTGGGATTTTGAAACTCACCCAGTTGAATTCTGAATTCGATTCTATCATCTGAACACAAGTAATAATATCTCATTAATCCCGCTTTGTCAGCTTCAATATCCAATTAAATTTAATATTCGAGTCAATATTCAATCTATTTTCCATGATTGGACAGTTCCTCCGTTCTTCTCAATCCGATCTCCCCATCTCCCTAATACTTTTTCTATCTTCCTAAGTCTTACTTACGCTGATACCCTCCCAAAAGGGAATTTCACATTCATGGAACACATTGTGTGTCACATTCATATTTTATTCATATTTTGCGACTATCGATATCTTCTCAATATCTCAAAGAAAATTTATAAAATGGATGTATTCCTGTTTTTCACGTTTATTGCTTTCTTCCAGAGCCAAAAGCATCGTGGGAACATCAATCGTCTAGCGAACAGTCTGATAACGATGATTCTGATCTCGAGATTATCGACGAGGGCTCAAAGAGTGGAGGCAACTCAAAGTCAAAGAAGAATAAGCAGAAGAAGAAAAGAGATAAGAAGAAGACGAAACCAACGGTGGTTTATACAGACGCCCAATTAACTGGGCTCCTCAAGGATGTTATCAATAAGAGTAAGTCGATTCATTATTCTGTGAATTGATTGGACTCAATGGAATTTTACCAAAGACAGACTCAATTGCAATCTTATTATTCTTACTTTGTATGAGGAGAATTATTTCTCCATATTTTGCACGTCATTCCATCATTCTTGGTTACTTCATAGCGAGATATACTTCTTTCAGTTTATTCCGGTTCGTAAAGTTTTCTTTCGAGGAAATCTTCTTGAATTTGGTATTGGATAAGTTTGAATTAGGAAACTATAATTGAATATCGTACGGGTGAATACTATTGTGACAGCTGAATAATTTAGCCACTGTAAGGCATGATAAATTTATCCACGTCCGGACCCGAAGGACGGAAGTTTGTTCAATCGGAGATTAATAAGAAAAAAAATTGGAAATTCAGCGATATGACGGAATTTTCAGAGTTTGATCTTGTTAAAAAGAGTGGATACGACTTCCATTACTTCTTCCATGTTTTGAATACGGTATATTCACCGAAATGAGAATCGCCCGGTTGATTCCAAGAAAAGTTATCTTATAGGGATTCAGGTGTTGACGGAAAGTGATGAATGTACTAATATATATAATCAACTTAATAATTATAGTTTATTGTGATGTTAAAGTATAATATAGAAGTAGAGAGTGAGGCAATGCGATTCGATCCTCATGTTACGTGGGCGGTTTTCGTCCTCCCCTAATCAAATCGCTTTTCGACTTGAAGACTATGTTCAACTAGCTACGGTCAGAGCTCACGGGGGTTCGCTCAAGAAATTACCGAGTGCTCTATAATATTTTATGTCAAGTCGTGCAGAAGTCGAGTTTTGAGCAGGCTGCGCGAAGCGCAGCGTGCGATAAACTCGACTTATTGCACGGCGCGACATAAATATGATAATTTAACAGCTGATAAATTGGGACATGTGATTGTCATCTGTCGTATTGCTTTTTGCAGTGAGAATGATTATAAAAAATTGATTGAAAAAAGGAATATCACATGTGACAAAAGCCGGCACAATGAAAGAGCATCAATACCCCGGCCGCTTGTGGTAGTCTCAAAATTGGTTATCATCAGACAAAAAACAAAAATGAAATGTTTTCAACACTTATTTTAATCCTATTTTCTTCTCATCTGCAAAATCATCTGCACACAATGAAATTTTTTCGCTGCAAACTATGCTCGAATACTCGATAATAGGAAAGTTTTGAACGCACTCATAGAATGTTCTTCATTCTTAGACATGACCCAGGCTTTGGAATGGTTAGTGGAATCCTTGGAGGACGTTCTTGAGGACAGAGATGAGGAAAGTAGTGATGGCATTGCACTGGTACCCCTGAATGATTATTCATCAGCTGCAATGGATTCACCAAGTTTTCAGCGTTTCCTACGAGCTATTGGAGTTGAGCCACCGGCTGATGAGCAAGAGGCTTATTGGAGAATACCAGCTAGCATGATGTCAGCCACCATACGAAAGCGTTGTGAACTCATTAAAAATGGACTCGGGGGAACATTCGTGAATGAAGGTATGCTACGATTGACACTGACATTTCGTTAATTATTTGAAGAGGAAATTATGTCGTCGAAAAGTCCTTCGGAATTTAATTTCCCATTTCAATATTACAGATATTCTACCGAATATTGATTCTAACAGCGATGGAGAGGCCGACGAAGAGGGGGGAGGGGCACTGGATTTGGAGGAAATTAAGAAGATGTTCACAGAGGATGAATCAAAGTCAAAAGGTAAATTTATGATATGATTGATTGATTGATTTATTAGTTTCCTTTTAATGCGTTTATTTGGATTCAGTGCGAATGAACAGGAGAGGGAGAGTGCATTCGATAGAAAATTGNGATAATTTAACAGCTGATAAATTGGGACATGTGATTGTCATCTGTCGTATTGCTTTTTGCAGTGAGAATGATTATAAAAAATTGATTGAAAAAAGGAATATCACATGTGACAAAAGCCGGCACAATGAAAGAGCATCAATACCCCGGCCGCTTGTGGTAGTCTCAAAATTGGTTATCATCAGACAAAAAACAAAAATGAAATGTTTTCAACACTTATTTTAATCCTATTTTCTTCTCATCTGCAAAATCATCTGCACACAATGAAATTTTTTCGCTGCAAACTATGCTCGAATACTCGATAATAGGAAAGTTTTGAACGCACTCATAGAATGTTCTTCATTCTTAGACATGACCCAGGCTTTGGAATGGTTAGTGGAATCCTTGGAGGACGTTCTTGAGGACAGAGATGAGGAAAGTAGTGATGGCATTGCACTGGTACCCCTGAATGATTATTCATCAGCTGCAATGGATTCACCAAGTTTTCAGCGTTTCCTACGAGCTATTGGAGTTGAGCCACCGGCTGATGAGCAAGAGGCTTATTGGAGAATACCAGCTAGCATGATGTCAGCCACCATACGAAAGCGTTGTGAACTCATTAAAAATGGACTCGGGGGAACATTCGTGAATGAAGGTATGCTACGATTGACACTGACATTTCGTTAATTATTTGAAGAGGAAATTATGTCGTCGAAAAGTCCTTCGGAATTTAATTTCCCATTTCAATATTACAGATATTCTACCGAATATTGATTCTAACAGCGATGGAGAGGCCGACGAAGAGGGGGGAGGGGCACTGGATTTGGAGGAAATTAAGAAGATGTTCACAGAGGATGAATCAAAGTCAAAAGGTAAATTTATGATATGATTGATTGATTGATTTATTAGTTTCCTTTTAATGCGTTTATTTGGATTCAGTGCGAATGAACAGGAGAGGGAGAGTGCATTCGATAGAAAATTGTTTTTGATCTCTATTCTACTTCCGTTAAAAATTCTATCAAGTTTTCACTGATTCTGTTGACAAAATCTGGAGCTCTCCTGCGCGTTTTTTCTGTACAGTATAGTTTTTTAAATAGATTTCTATTGATAAAAATGCGTAGGTGAACTGCGGATTTTTTGAGTAGAAATTTTTGACAACAATTATGTTATAGAAAGAATTAATATACTTTCATTGTTCTATAGAACTTTTTCTACTGGAATGTTTTCTATCAAAATTGATCGGAATGAATTTTTCAAGTCTTGTTTCATTTTTCTGAAAATTCAAGAGAATTCGGCAGCGAATATTCATCTTTACTTGAAAATTTATGTAAAATGTACAATTTTCGTCTTCCTGTCGCTGAAAAATGGCACTTTACTTGAATTTTCAGAGAAACTTGAAATTTTATCGACTTTTTTCCCTTAAATCGAATTCAAGGTATTTTTGCGAAAAATTCAGCCGAATTTTTTCAACAGTGTATTTTTAGATGTTCGTTTCTATACGTAACGTATTCTGTTGGAATTTTCTTTATGAAACTTCGTGGACACCCGAGGGCTCGATTCAATGATGGGTTGTTATCGTACTGATTCGACAGTTATTGGCGTTCTTCACGCTCATTACATTATTCTCATAGATTCAAGCATAAAAGTCCTATTTTATGTACCACAAAATTCATCCATCAAATTATAATTTTTTTTCTTATTTGAATTAATCCAGGTCAACGCTCTCAAGTTATTGACTCAGATTCCAGCAGCGATGAGGATATTTCCCCATTGAAAATGAAAAATAAAAGCTCAGGAAGCCAATCAATTGCCGAGTCTAATCCCAGCATTTTCACCAATAATAAATCCAAGAAATCGAAGCTGAATAGAAGCCGAGTAAAGTCGATGGACGATTCCTCTGACTCAGATGCGGAGGTGGAAATTGCTGGAGGGAATGTCACAGGTAATAGCATATTTCAATGGTTCATTTGGGCTTATAACCCTGCATAAGGGGATACACTAAAGAGTAACTAAATCGTAAAGTACGTTTCTATGAAAATCATAATTTACGATTTCTGGAGCGTAAAATACGCTTAATGGAATGTAAAAGACGCTTTTTTGGGAACAATTCGTATTTTTCTTTTGACCGTACAACTCGCGTTTTTAAAACCTAAATTCCAATTTTCATGACGAACAAAAAACCAATAGACATCATGTTGGTGTTGAGCGTAAATTATTTTTAGCAAATCGTAAATTCTCATCAAATTTTCTATAGAGATTCTGTATGAGTCAACAGACATTTTTTTAAGTGACTATGTATGTGAGAAAGCTCTATAAAAACAACTTTTCAAATCTGGAACTTTCAAAACTCAGTAGTCTATCCCTTTAATCGTCCAATTTAATGATTATCTCCTCTCAAGATGACGCTAAGAGAGTTCGCTCTGACAACTCTGACCCAGAGGATACGCCAACACTGAAGAAACGTCGTGTCATTGACAGTGACGAGGAGGACGACGTTGTAATCACCTCAGAGCAGCGGGAGGCTAAGCAAGGGCGGAAAATCATCAGCGACGACGAAGATTGATAATGTCATTTTGCATCATTTTTTTCTGTGTTTGAACCATTTTGTAATCGCTTCAGCGAGTATTGCTCAATAAATAATTATCTTTTCCATTAAAAAACGATACTTTGTTTTTTTTTGCCATAAATGTCACGTTCAGAACGTATTACCTCACTGAAAAATCTATAAAAGATAATTGAAATCGATAAAAAAAAGAAGTTACGTTTAATGGCAATGCATGCAGCTTATCAGTGATTTTTTTATGAAACCATTGAGGCGTAATGGAGGACGTTAGCTTGAATTAGTCGTACTTTTTCATTATTGCGTTAACTGGCTTAATCATTCTATTGAATTCTATTCAATACCTGTAGAGAGAAAAAAGTTCTGATGCTCAGTAATTTGGAGGTAATTTTAGTGTAATTGTCCTCAAATTGAGGCATTTTTTCCCTCATTTTCAGGTTTCTCAAATATTTTCTTGGGGTCTTTCAATTAAAACCGGATGTGTTCGGATTAAGGGGCGTTGCACCACTTTTTTCAAGTACCAGAAGTATTTGACGGAAAATGTTCGACGGTTTTTTCAAAATTTTTTGTTTATTTTACATAAACAAAAAACTCGTTTTCGTTTTTTTGAAATAATTTAGCGTGTTTCTCGGCGCTTAAAACTTCTGAAAAAATTAGAGTTTCTAGTTCAATCCTTTTATTAAGCATCGGCGTTATCCGTTTTTTTATCGGAATATTTGTTTAGCTAAAAGGGGAAAAGAAACGTCGAACGGACAGAAAAACGCCGCGCCGCCCGGTGCGAGTGAGTCTCTGTCGACCCCTCGAGCGACAGTGTTGCTACATTCACTGTCACACTACGAAATGCGTGCATAGCGGTAAGCGCCAAAGTGGCAACAGCGTGCTGGGTTTAACCCAGCGGCGCTACGCTAAACGTGCGACGGATGAAGGCTGGCGGCCAAGCGCGAGTGATCGAGGGTTAAAACAAAAGTTTAGGCATGAAATATAATGAAATTTTCATTTTTCAGTAACATTTTTTTTTATTTAACGAATGGTATTGAGTGATTTCGAATTTTATACGATTTTTTCCGAAGGTTATAGATACACACCAAAATTTCTTTGAAAAATATTGAAAATTGAAGGGCATGTAGGGGTTTTACGAGTCGAAAAAAAAAGAAAAAACGATTTTCGATAGAAAAAGTGAATGTTCTTAGTGATGCCGTGAGACGAGACGAGTCGAGAAATGGCGTCTCGTCAAGAGTCGAAATATTCTCTCGTCTCGTTTTATCTCGACGTGTCTTATCTCGTATCGTCCCGCATGGAAAAATTAAGAGCCAGGAAAAAGAAGGGTCAGAAAATATAAGGGTCTAGCTCTCGCGGCATCACTATTCCTTTCTTAAATAAAGAATGAATATTATTGAAAACTGAAAATTTCTTGATGTTTCATGCCAAGACTTTTTTTTTACATAACGAAGACATTGAAAAAAATTTGCCGAAATTTCCCATCAAATACTTGTGGTACTTGAAAAGAGCGGTGTGGCCCTCCTCTGAAATTGAAATCTCTGTATATTATAAAAATGCAAATCGACCTTTGGTGATGAAAATTCGGTACTCAAAATTAAAACTCCAAAATTAAGGGTCACAGGGGTCAAAATAAGAGTCAACAGGGTCAGGATAAGGATCATGGGGGGTCATATGGGAATCATATAAAGGTTGGCGAGCGGAGCGGGCAGGGGCGTAGCCCCCTACTACTGGAATAATTTTTGGCTGAATTTTTTTTTCCGTGATGGATATTCTGTTCTTGGAAATAGATGAATCAATAATGCGTTCTGATAAATATGTTGTCACACTTTTTTTAGAATTCCGGAAAAAAGTCGGAGTATTAATTTTTTTGTATGGAGAATTAGTCGGCAAAATTCGATTCTCGTTCAGTCATCACTCCCGATCTTTTCAATGCTTTTCATCATCATAATGGACATCCAAAGGAGGTAGGAAAATATTTCTTTTCAAAGATTTTACGACGCAGAAAAGATTCTCTTGGTCTTCGATTTCCCCTCGTGAATAGAATATTGAACATATGAAAGAACGACGATTCTCCTCCATTGACTGGAAAAATTATCACGTCATGCATCTATCCGTGGGTTCCATATTTTGAAGCAGTAGAATGTCATATTGAATACCACGTCCTTATTAAATTATGCCATTATCTCGGAATGAAGAGATTAAACCCTAAAAAAACAAGTTAAAACATTTTCTATTATACGAAAACAGTTTCGTAGTGTCATTCTGCCTGGAAATGATTAATTATTCAAATCATTCTGAAATTCGCGAGTTGACATTGTCGCGTCAATACGTTCCACTCCTTCAATCTCCCAAGTGCCATGTGAGAATCCTTGAATTATTGAAGAGATGCCACTCAACATGAATTGCGAGACATATTTGTATGACAAATTATTAATTCATTGCATATCGTACAACAATAGGAATGATGAATTAAAGATGTTTATCCGAAATCGTTAGCACTCAACAAAATTTTATTCTTTTTTTCAACTGATCGAAAGAGTTATGTCCTCCCTGTTGATAAAAAATAAAACCCATTAATACAGGTTGATTATTCAGAAATTAAACAGACAATATACACCAAATGTACACGCTAGTACAGGGATGGCCGTCAATATTATATTTCTTCAATATTAAAAGGATTTGCGATTTACATTGATAAATGTTTGAATATACTCATGAAAATCAAAAAATAATATCATATTAATGGTTTAAATTTCCGATTGAAGATGAATTAAATATTTGATAATACAAAACTATAAATTTTCCATTAAGTGTCGATTAACCAAATAATCGGCAATCTTCCTACCTACATTGTTGATTAATAAAATATTAAAAATTTTAACATATAAATTGATGATTACTTGAATAATTAAAAATTTAAGAGTGATGTTAACCAACTGAAGGCTTTAAAGTTTAACGGTAATTATAATTTATAAATATGGCTACCCCTGCGCTAGTATAAAAAAATATACTAGGTCATGAAAGATATTTAATGTTTCGGATATGTCTATTATTCAAACGCCCGTGCATGGAGAATTTTCTTTCATTTTATTTTACTGAAGTTGTTGCAACTAATTTTTTTCACGAGTGCGAAGTTGGGGGCCAATCACACGAGCAGAAAACTGAGTTCCCATGACTCAAATGGATACCTCACAACAGTTAAATATGATGAATATTGAGGTCCAATTGAAAAACTTATGTATTTTCATTAAAATTCTTAATAGTAGATTTCGACACTACGCCGTAAGGATCTTTTCTGATGAACGTGACGTTACAGGACGAGCCGAAGGCGAGTTCTGTAATTATCTGAGGTAGAAAAGTTCTTCACGGCCGTGTATCGAACAGTATTTTTTGTTATTAGGCGATTTTACAAATCGCGGTTTATCGGGCCTAGTGACGAAAAATTCAATACTTCAGGTGAGTTTAAAACCAAACGAAGAGACATCTGCAAACGCTTAGAATGTAAGATATAGATCAGTAAATTAGAATATCTATGTTCAAAGGAATAGAAGCGATTAAAATGAAGAATTGAAATATTAATAAGGATTGATTACTGCAAGGAGAGTGTAATTAGAATCATCATGAAAAATTGAGGGAAGCGAGGTTCTTAGGTGTATAACTTAATCTTTCCCTTTTTTTCCATTGAGTGCGATGTCTTATTTGAAATTTAAATATTTACGCGCACGTTTGCGATTTTGGAGAGTGAACCTTGCAGTTTTTAATATGCTATATGTCATGCCTGGAAGAGCTGTGTAATTTCACAAAACAGTAGTATTTACGATGGCGGCCGATGCGCAGCACATTCGGCACTGTATTCTCTATGAGTTCCAACAAGGAAAAAAGCAATTGAAACCCGCGATTCGATTTGTTCTACTATCGGAACTAATATTGTCTCTTATGATACGTGTAAATATAGTTGTAGAAGCTTTAAAAATAGTGATTTCGATTTCAGAAACCGGTCTTTCAGGCCTAGTGACATAAAAATGTTAATCAGTTTGATGTTCACACTTTGTTCAACCTGAAATCAAAATTTAAAAAGCAATAATTTAACGAAGAATATCTGATATCAAATAACGTTTCCAATTTTATTCATTGACACATCCTTATAAAAATAGCACAGTAAATACTGGCAATAAAAAACATCCCCCAGAATGAACATTTCAATGACGCTCATGCTCGTGGACGTAAGCTTTGAGTATATCCACGGCTTTGCACTCTGGACACGAAGACCTTCGCCTCCTGATCTTATTCAGTGCCTCCGATCTAGTAGTGAAATCAAGCATTTGAAATTGCTCATCGAGTTCGTTCTTCCGTGCCTTTGGTTTCTCCTCGTTCTTCTCAATTTTGTTCTCATTTCTCTCCGGTTTCTTCTCAACACTGGATTTGGTGGTTTGATGTTCGAGAATTTCTTTCGATTCGTCATCAGGCAATGGCTCCCTTATGTTAACTTTCTTGATGGAATCTCCAACCGTCACGTAATCCACTTGGTATCCTTCCATTTCGAAGACACCACCAATGTCTCGTAGGCTGATGTGTCGATCGGCGTCCTTCACTGCCGGGTCAAATTCAATTGAAAAAATCATGGAGCCATTGACAAGCGTCATACTGAGGATGATTCCCTCGTCCTGGAGGTATTTCGCCGTTTCCTCAAAGTCCTGGAATATATCGAAATCGTCGAAATCTTCGTCAACTTTTATCTCAATCACTCTGGGTTCATCCCCGTCGTTCAGCTGTTCCACTGTCACGCCCATTCTCTCGAGAAATAGGCTCACTTCTTCCATTGTGAACGGCTCGTCCTCCTCGGTGTCGGCTAGGAGCATACTTCCAATTGGTTCTGAAAGATAATTATAGGAAAAATTATGGTTAAGGGCCCCTTCAAATATTACGTCACGCGATTAGGGGAGCGTGGAGTGGGTTTTTAGTTGTGATGTCACACCATATTTTTTGCTTCCGCGTGGAAGCTTTGTAATCGTTCAAATTGAAGTTTTGGATTTTTTTGTTAGGGACGGTAGCGTAAAATAGACGCTTTAGACTTTTTTAAAATTATTCATAACTCAGAAGCAATTTTATCAATCGAACTCAGTTCAGGCTCATCACAAAGGGAAAGAATTGTTCTTTACATTGAAAAAAAATTATTAAATTGCGTCAACATTTCAACCCGTCATTAACATTTAAAAAAAGGTCAAAAGTACCCATTTTACCCCAACCTCAGCTATATCAACTCATTATGATCTAAAAAGTCCGAAAATGAGATTTTCAGATTCTGTTCGTATTTATGTGACGAAGTTTATCTTCAATTGCCGCTAATGAATCGAGTGAAATGAGGGTATTGTTGAGTCCAATCCATTGAGATTAATTGGATTTGAATCCTCGTGGATGAAAAAATTGAACATTGCATTAGGATCGCCCAAAAACTAATAATAGACAGTTGAATAGAAATCCAATATAAATTTCTAACGAATTCGCTAGGTTTTTATATTAAATTTTTTCATGCTTGCTATTTTTGGTTCAAAAATTTTTTGTCCCACGATAACTCTAAACTAGTGGATAATTCCATTTTTTTAAGAGTACAGTTATTGCTGGTAATAAATTAGCAATTTCCGTCTCAATACTACATTCTTCTTTTTTTTAAATCTTATATCACTACTATTTCTATTTTTTGTGTCAGAGTACTATCATTAATTGAAATGTCATAAAAATTTTTGCATATTGTAAACCGATTTTCTCTTTCAAATCACATAAACAATATGCAACTGAACTACAAATGGCGCAAACACCATCATATTCTGATAGATCAAGATTGATATCAATTTTTTGAGTGATCGTTGAAAAATCTATTTTTGGAAAAATGTCAATTTTTTACAATCTTCGTGAAAATTTGAACTTTAATTGCCATCAATGAATAGAACTTATTAAAGTTTATATTCTTTAATCCCTCACGTACGGGCTCGGTATGTCATACCGACCCATGCAAAAACGCACGGCTCTTTTCAAAATTAAATATTTTCGAAACAATGGCCGATAATACAATCGGATTAATACCATTGGGAAGGTGAATACTGTAGCTTCAATTATATATTTTATTTATAATTTTTCATTCATCAGAAAATGTGGAATGCGAAGAGTATTGAGCGTGTGGTAGACTTGGTATCAGAAAGGCTCCGTACGTGAGGGGTTAAAGAAATCCATGAAATTCAATATATCCATTGTCCAATTTAAAAAAAAAATTAAAAAATCATCACATATATACATATACATATATATATACATATATACAGGCACCATCTAAAAATCACATGTTTAATCTTGTTAGACCATATTCAGGTACTTAACAGAAAAAATTGGAAATTTGAATTTGAACGATTACAAAGCTTCCATTCGAACGCAAAAATGTTCTGAATTCATTGAATGATGGTCCAATAAAATTGTTTCAATGTCCCTATGACCGAGATATGAGAGACCGAGAAATGAATGCGATAACGGTAACCGTTTTTTTTTAAGTTTAAATTTAAAATATCTGTTCCAATGCCATCCTGTCAGAGTTAAAAGACATTCCAATAACCAAATCGGTTGGTTTAATTTTCAGGGTGATTTCCCGACGGTTTCTCCAAATGCAATTTTATGTACAGCTTCCACGATTCCTCGTCCGGCAATTGGCATTGTTATACTTTCCAAGCTCGAAAACTTGACAATCGTTACAAAAAATCTTGTCCCGGGCTGTTGCGAGTGGGTTTTTTTACTCGTGTGATTGGCCAGTCCTTGCCTTCGGTTCGGATGCGAACGCCACACGAGTAGAAAACCCCATCGCAACAGCCGGGAAAAATACGATTTTCAAATTCAATCAATTTTGCGTGGAAAAAGTTTTTCGAATACCGTTTTATCGAAGTTTCTAGGCAATATAGATATTCTTTGATAAAAAACAGTTTCTTAAAATCCGTAACTGGGTCCTGGGAACTAAAAACTTCTTCTCTGTGAAGCCCCAGCTCAACACTCACACTTTATGTACTCATTATGCAAAACCGTAAGCTTGAATAAATAGTATAAATCCACGTAGACTCAAGCAACGACGATTATATTAGTCAAACTCATAATTCATTCCATTTCATTCTTCGATTGCCATTATACTTACCAAATTTAGCTGGAATTTGAATCAATGCGTCATCGTTCAACATCTTTGCAACATGTTTCGTTTTCGTATCTCTGACTGCATAGAGATTGAAAACATAGACGATTCCATCCTCAGCGCTGTCACCTGATAAAGAGAGAATTATCAAAAACGTTTCAAATTTGGAAGTGTATCCAGTCTACAAAAATTTCCATGAAAACAATCCCAAAGGAACATCTGAGATGAAAAACCAAGGAAAAAAAATTGCTCGACAGAAAGTTCCATCTTCATGTCGGACAAAAAGCAATATTTGAAACTATAATAGATTCACGAATGAATTACAATGACAGTAAAAAAATTATACGACGAATGATCAATTCCGCAAAATATTTTACTACAATCATCCAATTCGACTGCCGGATCTCTCGACTCAACGAATTTCCGTTCTCCGGATGTATGTCATAGAGTAATGACACTTTCCAATTATAATGAATAATAGATACCGGCGCTGATGTCAAATGAATCGAAGAGAATTTGGTCTTTACTTGAACTTATCTCTATTTTATTACCGATTTCATCTCTCATCTTTTTAAAAGTAAAAAATTTGAATATAATTCAGTAGCAAAGTGGTCAAACGGTTCAAGTCAATTTAGTCTTTAGTTGAGTTATACTGAATAATAAATTCCGGCGCTGATGCCAAATGAATCGAAGAGAATTTGGTCTTTACTTGAACTGATCTCTATTTTATTACCGATTTCATCTCTCTCATCTTTTTAAAAGTAAAAAATTTGGATATAATTCAGTAGCGAAGTGGTCAAACGGTTCAAGTCAATTTAGTCTTTAGTTGAGTTATACTGAATAATAAATTCCGGCGCTAATGTCAAACGAATCGAAGAGAATTTGGTCTTTACTTGAACTTATCTCTATTTTATTACCGATTTCATCTCTCTCATCTTTTTAGAAGTAAAAAATTTGGATATAATTCAGTAGCGAAGTGGTCAAACGGTTCAAGTCAATTTAGTCTTTAGTTGAGTTATACTGAATAATAAATTCCGGCGCTAATGTCAAACGAATCGAAGAGAATTTGGTCTTTACTTGAACTTATCTCTATTTTATTACCGATTTCATCTCTCTCATCTTTTTAAAAGTAAAAAATTTGAATATAATTCAGTAGCGAAGTGGTCAAACGATTTAAGTCAATTCCGTCTTTAGTTGAGTTTTCCAGAAATATTTCCGAATTTAAGGGAGATAGCGAAATTTTCATAATAACCTTTTTTGTAAAGCGAATTAAGTGCTACCAAAAAGGTTATGAGAAAAATTTTGCTATCTACATTAGATTTCGAGTTATTCATTGAAAACTGGCCAATATCCAAAATCGACTTAAACCGTTTGACCACTTCGCTACTGAATTATCTCCAAGGTTTTTCAACCTGTCTTTCATCGTTGAAAGGCATTTTCTCATTCGAAATTTAAATAATCAAATATTTCGGCATTTCGGCAAAATAATCCAACCAATATACCTGAATCGTAATGAGCGGGTACGGCATAGGCAACCGCAACGAGAAGATAAAGAATACTCAGAATACTTTTGCCCCACATTTCAAGAATGCTCGTTAAAAGATTGCCTCGAAATATCACTGATAGACTGAGCAGGAAGTATTTCGTCTTGCTACTTTTATACCACGATAATCATCTGTCCTGGTGGAAGCATCATCCTAGAGTGCTATTGCATAACGTCCGCCGACTGCGCCATTGTTTACGCCGCTAAGAGTCACCATCCACAATGTTGTTACCCCTCATAATCCCGAGTCCCGCTTAAAGCTTGAAGCAAATCGTGGCCATTCAATCCTTCGATGAAAACATCTACTTTTGTGATTTGTCATGACATTGCTCCGATATGATTAATTCCAACTACTGGGGTACACTCATGGATAACATCACTGACATTTAATGTCTTAATTCTGTAACTACTAAGTTCACAAATAATTATAGTTCACGATCACGTACAAGGGTTTACGCAATACCAAGTTCTTACGTTATAGCTTCATTCTTTTGTCGTTCAAGTTGAGGATTCAACTTCGAATGACGAGCATTATTCTGCACGAATGGCCAATCCAACGAAATCATTGGCTGAAGAATGGTATCACGCCTGATTTTATCTCCTCAAACTCATGATTGCATTGGCATTGAAGTTATGATACTCATCAGGGAAGAAGAATAATTTTCGCAAATTTGTTTGTTTTTCTTTTATTCGAACCAAAATTCACGTTATTTAATTAGTGTTACAGAAAAAATTGTCTTCTGGGTTGGAATCGTTACATGACACGCTGATGAATTGTGGGTAATCATGGGTCATTAAAGATGTTGAGATAAATTAGTCTTCAGGTGGAACCACTGGCGGTGTTTTTTCTACCTGTAATAATGAAGGATAATTTATTGTCATTGATTCCATTTTTTCGATACGAGTTTTTGGGTTTTATTACGTACCAACTGCTGGAGGAGGACTGGGCTGAGGCTTGGCTGTATGATCCGTGGTTTCTGGAAATTGGAGGTATTATTTTAATTTCATGTCGTTAAAGCAATTTGTGGAGTGAAATCATCTAAATTGTCGATCGGTGAGGAGGGAATTCTCAGACGTGGGAGAGGACTAGGAAACCTTTTTGTCATTTGGAGGAAAGTTTATTCTGCAAGTGATGAAGTAGGGATTCCTTGGTTCGACAGATGAGGAAGAAGATCACTGCACTTACCCGCCACCGCCGCGGCCATTGCAGACGTCGCACTGACCGCCACCCTGGTGGTAATGGGGCTGTGGTTGGTATTGTGGCTGCGGCTGGTAGTGGGGCTGGGGTGGGTAGTAAGGTCGGGGCTGCTCATATACGGGGATGACTTGGACGTATGAACCTGAAATAATGAAAATCAGTTAGGTATCAGATGTATCATTACACTGATGGAATGGTTCATTTATTCCAAACGAGATTCGTTAACTATTAACAATTGGTAGAGTTAAATATGACCAAATGAATATTTGTTAACTATTAACGAATGAACATTTGGTGACACCGAATAAACCCTAGCCTCCAACCAAATTCATTCGTCAATAATAACTAATGCGTTTCATCGATGTAGAATGGTTCATTTATTCCAAACGAGATGCGTTAACTATTAATAAATGGTAGAGCTGAATATGACCAAATGAATATTTTTTAATAGTTAACGAATGGATCACTTGAAAGTTGAAAGTGGAGTCAAATAAGGCTCCTTAAATATGCATTTGTTAACTATTAACGACTGAACATTTGGTGCGACCGAATAGACCCCAGCCTCCAACCAAATCCATTCGTTAGCAATAACTAATCCTTTTTGTCAGTGCACTAATAGACTGATTCATTCATTCCAAACGAGATTTGTTAACTATTAACATATGGTAGGGCTGAATATGACCAAATGAATATTTGTCAATAGTTAACGAATGGTTCGCTTGAAAGGTGAAAGTCGAGTCAAACAAGGATCCTTAAATATGCATTTGTTAACTATTAACAAATATTCATTTGGTCATATTCAGCTCTACCATTCGTTAATAGTTAACGAATGGTTCACTTGAAAAGTGAAAGTCGAGTCAAATAAGGCTCCTCAAATATGCATTTGTTAACTATTAACAAATGAATATATGAAGAGACCGAATAGATACTACACTGATAGAATGATTCGTTCATTCCAAACAAGATTTGTTAACTATTAACGAATGGTTCACTTGAAGGGCGAAAGTCAAGTCAAACAAGACTCCTCAAATATACATTCGTTAACTATTAACGAATAAGCATTTGGTGAGACCGAATAGACCCAAACCTTCAACCAAAACCCATTCGTTAACAATAACTAATCCTTTCTATCAGTCCATTTTAATTGAGGACAAATGCTGAGGAGTCAACCAATTGATTGATTGAGATCTATTCACTGTATATTATGTTGTATAAAAATTAAGTAATGACAAAGTCATACAGCGGAAACACAAGAGCAGATAACTAAAAAGTAAAAGAGACCTCGTATGACAAAATTCAATAGAACAACTTACCGAATTCGCTAGAAAATTCTAATGGAATTCTAAGAAAAAAAAAAAAAAAGAGCAAGTAAACTTACTCTGTCCTCCACCGCATCCGCCACCGCAAGGTGGTGGAGGCGGAGGTTGTTGGCAAGTGTTACAACCACCCCCACCACCGAATTTCTTCTGCAGCAGATTGCTGATGAGATGAGGTGATCTCCGAACTCGGTTCAACTTCTTTGGCTGGAGAGCCTCGACATCGGGATCCTCTCCAGATACTTCGCCATCGAAATCAACCCTGATGACTTTCGTCTCTATGTCGTCCCCAATTTTTTCCACTTTGACGCCCTCCTCCTCAAGCTCCTTGGCGAGTTCATCTAGACTGACGGGTACACCTTCGTCTTCTTCCTCAACCACCAGGAGAATTGTTGCCACAGGTTCTATAATCGCAGATACTCCTTGTTAATCACTGTTAAAAATTTTCGTCTGAATTTTGCGTTCGATTTCCGCTGAAAATTCTGGAAATCTTGTCATTGAAAAATCGAATATTCCTTTGATTTTCTGTTCAAATAATGTGGAAATCAATAAAATACTTGATTTTTCAGTTCAATTATTCTATGAGAATTCAGGCAAATCAGGAAAATTCAGAGAAAAATTGAAAATTCAAGTCATTTTGTATCTGAATATTCATCTTCCACTGCAAAATCATGAGTTTTCGTGAATTCTACTTAAAACTTGAAAATTCATAACCATTTTTTCCCTAAATACGATACAACGCCACTCTCATGAGATTTCCTTAATATCTTCCATGAAATTCCAAAAAATTTCTAACAGTGATCAGAAGGCATTGAGTCGATATATCAATTCAAACTATTCCAGGATTTGGGCTTTCCCTGAAGTTTTTCTTGTTGCATACGAAAATGTAAATAACATGTAAATGCGTTAGATAGGACACTTACCGAGTATTGCTGGCACTTTGTTCTTAATGTCGTCATTAAGAGTTTCTTCCGGGTCTTCTCCATCCGTCTCATTCTTCACGGCGAAGAGATTGACGATGAAGACAATTCCACGGGGAGCTTGTTCATCTTCCTTAGGCGGTAATAGTTCTGTTGCTAGTGTGACATTTTCCTTGAGAATGTCCACATTAAAATCATCATTGAAATTGGCAGTTTCAGCATCCTCTTTTGGTGGCAGTAATTCTAAGGATATGGATACCGGCTCTTCTACATTTCTCGGTGTTGTTCGGCCTAAAATGAAAATTATGTAAATTAAATCCTCTAATGGATAAATGATTGAATTGTAAAACTAAAGATATCTTTTCTAAAAAAGCATGGGCAATATTTCGAATCGAAAATGAGAACTCAAAAATGGCGGATTTCTCGAAGGAATGGAGAAAGTAAAGCGGTTTTCATGAGTGCAATCGTCTTGCGTCGAATTTTCATGAAGCCCGCCTAACAAGCAAAACAAAAGAGAATTGAATGCAATTCTCTGAAACGTTAATAAACGAATCATAATTGTCCAAATCATTTTGGTCAGAGGAAAATAAAATAATTCTAATTTTTAATATTGCGTTTCCTAAGGTTCTCTTCGAACAAAATTGATTGGAATTAATAGCTGGAATTATGAGATTTCATTTAAATTCACATAACATAACATTTCTCTTCGTTTAATTAATATTAATCTCACCTGATTCAGGAGAGAGTGGCAGCCCACACAACCCGTTCACAAGCACCAGAACCAAAAGAACTTGCAACATCTTTACGAATTCAATCCAGCACAGACTCTGGATGTGCTGCCACCGGAAAATGCACTATGAAAAATCATTGATGTCTTCTTCTTTTATAGCTCGATAATCACCAATCCAACTGGCTCTACGATTCTAAGCTTATGTAATCAATATTCAATGAGTAACTCCGTACTGTTGTTTATTTTCCAGCAGCTCGTCATGGGTTCATTCACTATTTAGGAATTTCCGAGGGGGAAAACCAATCCGATTGTTCTTGCTCGTGAACTCTAGGTAAGGCTTAACAACACATTGCATATCATTGCGGAAGGCGAAACTTCAACTTATGCGTATTGAGAATTTTATTATTAAACATAGAATGAGAAAAAATATGGTGATTAGAGATTATGACCCTGGATATATGGCTGAGGATCTATGACTGCATACTGTGCTGGTGGCATTGAAGAATTTAAAAATAAAAAAATATTTGTCTTGGGCCCGGTTGCACCAGCCTTCTTAAACCCCAGCGTAAAATTTATCCTCGGGGTCTATTATATCGTACGAGTCATAATTTTTTAATATTTCACGCACCAAAAAAATTTAATAGAAAAACCTATTGAATTCGTTAGAAAATTCTATTGAATTTCTGTTAAACTTTCTATTAGTTTTTGGCTGATTCTATTGACATGTTCAATAGGAAAATAGAAAAATATTTTTAAATTTTAAAGGCCTTTAATAAAATAAGATTTTCAAAGATCTTCATTTGAAGCCTGAGCGTCTTAAGGGAGAAAACCAAAATGAAAAATCGATTTTTTGACATTTGTAAAGGGTTTTCCCCCCTTAAGTTGAGAGTTTTGAGTCTCAATTCAAGACTTGGAGATTTCAAGTCAAGTTGAAATTATTCTTCAAGTTGAGTTCTGAAACTATTAACTTGAGGCATTCAAAAGTCTCAAGTTGAGTATTAGTCTCAAATTGAGATCTCCAAAACTTAAACTGAGACGTTTGAAACTCTCAATTTACGACATTCAGGCTTGAAATTAGGACTTTTGGAAATCTTATTTTAAGACCTTTAAAGTGTTAGAATAAGGTATAATATTTTTGGATGTAATGGTGAAAATCACATCAAGAGCAGTTGTCATTTTTCCTTACGTTCTACAAAACCAATTTTCGTTACATTTCCATTCCGTCGCACAATTCGATTTTATTCGGAGATTTTACCCAAATTTTCCAAATCATTTTTATTCCTTATTTTTCTCCGTCGATTGGAAAATTTCAGCAAAACAAATTTTTAGAAAAATCATAATTAAATATTTTCATTTTAAGACTCTTCCGGGAAGCTTCGGTATTTCCAAAAGAATTCCAGTAGAATTCCATAACAAATGTACTACGAATGAATTATCTTCGTACGTTTCAGAAACGTTCATTCTTTGTTTTCATTATAAAAAGACGGAACAGTACATAAATCATAACATTACGTTATAAAAAAATCTCATATGCATTGAAAATCGATTCTTCAGAATAACAAATTAACTGGAATTGACGCGTCTTCCTGAGAACGCGTCTCCCATCCTGAAACTTATAATGGCGTCTGATGCACATCGTGGTTTTAATATGAAAGAATTGAAGAATGTTAATTTTAGATTCAGCCTTGAGGATTCGCATGGATTGACTACACAGATAATTTTTTTTTCTTAGACAGTTCATTGGCGTCTTGGAGACTAGGTAAAGTTGACAAGAAAAAAAAAGTGACAGTGGTCAGAGGAGATTTCGATTATTACAATAGGTCATTTATTCTCGTTGAGTGTCATTAAAAAAAATGAGAAAAATACGGCTGATTGAAGGACGAGATGGAGGAGATGTGGTTAAAGATAATTGAAGAGATATGCTGTTCATTTGAGGAAAGAGGAATGATTCGCTGAAGTAGTTCGATGATTCGTTGAAATCTTTTCAATTCGCAAGCGATGCTCAATTTACTTAATGAACTTGTTTTACATATTTTGATCGGTATGCTCAGAGGTGAGTAATAAACGGTGATAGACTCAGAGAGCTTGGGGATTCCCGACTGCGTCTGGCAGTCATTGATCAAATTACAACTCTTCGGAAATTGTGGAAATTTGTAAGTTAATACATTTCATTTTTGAATCAAGTATATTTTATACTCAATTGGGGGATGGGTATTTCAATTCGAAGATGATTCTTTTGCATCAGGCCGGGTCGTAGCAAGCCCTCTTAAGTGTAATGTAAGGGTCAGGCCCTAAGTGTAAGAATATAAGGGTCAAAAAATGGAGGTTAAAAGATGAGGGTCAGAATATTAGGGTCAGAATATAAAAGTAAAAAAAGTGGGTGTCAGGCCATGAGGGTCTAAATATAAGTCATATATTATGCTTGATAACCGTTTTTAGCCCATTATATGACCCTCATCACCTGATACCCACTTTTGTTACTTTTATATTCTGACCCTGATTTTTTGATCCTAATATTTTGACCCTCTTTTTTAACCCTAACATTCTGACCCTCATTCCTTCACCTTTACATTCCGGCCCTCAGTTTTTGACACTAATATTCCGACCCTCATTTTTTAACCTCCACTTTTTGACCCTTATATTCTCACACTTAGTGTCTGACCCTTATATTACACTCGGGAGCGCTGGGTACAACCCCGGCTGATACGAAATAATCATCGTCGAATTGAAATACCCGTCCCCCATTCGAGTATAAAATATAGTTGAATCGAGTATATTTTATTCTTGAATCGGGTCAATATAAATATGCTCAATTCAAGTATATTTTTTCCGTGTAATTCATAAAGTGAGGAATGAATTTTTTTAGTGATTCAACTACCGTTTGTTGTCGCATTATTGACCTGAGGATAAGGTGTGCTACCATATTTTACCATCGGAGATGGCTTGATGTAGACATCCGTGGGAATCCCAGTTGCGAGGGTACCAACAGTTAATAACAAAGTTTTTGCAATTGGACTGGTTATTCTAATTCCCCGATAGCCAATCATGTAGGCGATCTCACGGTAAAACAGAGTAGAGTACGATGTACAGTATTGAATGCTGAAATAACCCTGCTGTTCTAATATGCAGTACAGGGTGTGCAGCTGTGGTAATGATTCTGTGCCTAAACCGTGTACGCTGAGCCGATATTGTAGGTCGTTACGTTACCCCGACTGTCAGCTAGTGATGGCACGGTACCAATACTATCACTGAACTGCGTGTACAACACACGTGCCGTTATTGTACTGTTCCGCAGACGTTCTATATTTTTAATTGAAATAAGACTAAATAGATGGGTTTAAGTACAGTATTATTACAACTTTGAAATTGATACAAAATATCGTTCAGCTTGATTCATCGTCATCTTGGTAATAACTGTGGGTAAAAAAGAAAAATCCCTTTTTATTACAGAACTCGTGTATTATAGAACTAGTTGACAATTAATAGTAACGATGAATGCAAATATAAAATAATGATCTCAATGAATAGTCGATAGATGCAGCTTGAAGTGCTCTCGCCCGCGTTGCTGGGCGAACTGACTTGGTCTCCACTTCCTAGTGGAGATCTTCCACGCTGTATTAGTCATTTGTTTAGACCGATAATCCCGGCCTGCTTCGTCAAGGAATAAAAATGCCTCTCGAAATGTTTATTTTATGGCGCTGGTGGTCCTCCGTATAGGACCATCTTTGTTCTAATCCCATTTAAAGCCCCCTCATGCCGCCTCGAAAAATTTCCCACACAGTAGAAGTCAATAGTGTAAAGAATGGATCCATTTAACAATAAATTACTTTATTAAAGGAATTTCGGGGGAAATAAATAATAAAAAGTGCTGAATCGTTCGCGGACTAAGAACGAAAATGAACAATCCTATCCTATTCTAAAAAGAATATACACTCAAAGTCGATAAGTATCGATATCTCGCAAGTCTGTCACGCTTATTCGTCATTGGTTCCAGTCGTCTGAGGCGGACAACTTAATTCATGATTAATTTAATTTTGAGATTTTCAATTATGATTGTTACAATTACAGCGCGCTGTAGCGCGCGTTCGGTCTCCTGACGAAAAAGAAAGAGACAATCGTACATAAATATAGTGGAGAAGAAGAAAAAGAAGAAATACGCAACAATATGTCTATCATGCAATTGGAATGCCAGCATTACAATTTCTGAGGATGAGATCTCAATGCAAATACACTAAATAGAATGTTATAGTTGAGTCTAAAATAAAGTAAATCAAAATTTCCATTGAGATTTTTCAACCATGTACATCTTTCTAAAACAGGAATGTTTTGGTTTCAAGAATTCTGTGATATACTCCTTTTCCAATAAATTGCCTTATCCAACGAGGTATCGATTTCTCGGAACTAACGTAAAATCGCCGATAAGTAACTGTCGAAGTTGGTGAGGAATGGAGTTGCGTCATCAAGTTCTCGATAATTACCGCCGTAGAGCCACTGATAGAGGACATTGTATCTGACACTTCTGCAGAATCCTTGAACTCGACGCAAATTTGCTTTATCGATTTCCGTTGAAAAGTGAGGCGATATCGTGCATAATACGGATAAATAACGGCTGACCACAAAAAGTGTTGTTGATGATGTACAACAGAAGTAGTATTTTAATGAATTGATGCTGTGCATACGTCATCCAGGATGCGGATAATCTCAATGACGAAGATGGTTATCATCACATTCAGAACGACCTTATGAAAAGCTATTCATGAATTATCGATAACGAAATAATTTAAGATAAAAATACATTTTTCATCACAGCGGAGGGATTGATCTTGTTGCTTGACACATGAGTTAACTTCTTGGGTTCCTCCAGGTGATTGATTGATTGATAGAATTCACGTGCTCATGACTTCTCTATCACGTAGAAAAATTTGTTTTAGAACGAGTACGCGTATTATGGGAAAAGCGTAAAAATTAAATTCTTTCTACGCTATTGTTCAAAAAAATTCATAGAAAAATCTAGCGTTTTCTATATTATCAGAATTATCGAATAACTTTCCGAAATAAACACCCCTTTAAACAATTGCGTGAGTTATTACGTCATTCTTTTTTAGTTTTTTCTCCGTACAATGAATGTCCCCGGAGAAAACTTGTATATTTCATGCTAATGCATTTCTAATATTATAGTCATGGTCTCTTATATTACTGTGAGTCGCTATGCAGTATCGGTCATGAAGTAAAAAACAAATAAGAACTTCATGAATCTCACAAGGAACACTAGGGAGGTGTTCCCCTCCGATTTTGATCAACTCATATGTTGTAGAGGACTCAAACTGAAGGATACGTATTTTTTATCGGCTAATACGCGGCTTTAGGGGAGGAAACCATGGTCAGGAAATTGCCAAAGAAGTAAAGGCTCGATTAAGACGGATGGAATGAGTTTCTACAATAAATACTAAATCATTTGGACATCTCACAGTTCTCCCAGAAATTATTTCTTCTACCCCAGAAAATTTCAGTTCCGGGGAAAATAAAAAAAAAGGCATTCCGGATTTTTCCATGTTCTTCCCAACGCAATCATTTTCATGAAATCTTTACCTATAATTTGTTTTAAAATATTTTCACAGAGGTAGTTCACCCCCCCTTCAAATTTCACCCCCAGAGGAACTATCAATCGTGATTTTCATAATCGCTCACAAGCTATTTTCTCCTTCGATGGAATGAATAAATAACTCCACCACTGTGATGAGTGATATTTCCTAGAAATATTTTTTTTTATCCCAGAAAATTTTAGTTCTGGCGAAAATCCGAAAATACGTATTCGTAACACGTACTAATAATAATTTATACATTATTGCTAAAATAATTTAGATACATTCATCATATCCCCACATGATCTTCGCTAGTTACCTATGAAATCCCCACAATTAAATATCGAAAATATCAGAAACGGTATCAGTGATATCGGTAAAGAACTGATCGATAGGATTTCTTCTGTTACTCTCCATTCTCCTCCTCTGTTGATCCCTCGAGCTTCCGGAGTCATTCCGCACAAACTCCCTAGGAATATTCTGATCACCACTAGGGAATTTCATGAAAGAGACGGAACCGGCGTTGGCTGTTCCGTGCGCACTAGCTGTCCCCGCTGATTGGCTATGGACCTGTCCTCTGGAGTTCTGGCCTCGATTACCAGAGAGAGAGATACCCTGAGAATGTCCGTTACCAACTGAAGCCGCTGAGATTGTGCCAGAGCTGAAGCTCGCCTGAGTTTGCCCCCCAGAATTCTGATCAACAGATGCTGCTGTGCCTTGAGCGTGACCTTGAGCGTTTCCTGAGCTCTCTACGTAGTTTGTGGACCAAGAAGAGGGCCCAGTGGATCCTGTCTGGCTGTGGGACGAGGACTGACCAAGGGAGAAGCCGTTCGGTGAGTTCGAAGAGGCCGAGGATGATGCAGAAGCTGCGGATATCTGGAGCGAAGGGTTGAACTCGTGATTTTGGGACCACTCTTGGGGACTCGGACCCGCTAATGGATCCTGTGCCCATCGATCCCGTCTGTTGGGGAACTTCACTTGGGGCCTTGAAGCTCGGAAGGGCCGGTAATGACGAGTTGGTGGACGATTCTGGGTTATTAGTAGCGATGGACGCTGAGAGGTGAATCTATCATTACTGATCCCCACGTGGAGACGTAGCGGTGGAGTGTATTGGGGGCGAGCGTGGATTTTGAGGACTGGATCATCAGTTGACGGAGTGTAAAGACCTGATTGCATGAAGTAATGGTCATCAATCCCGGAATCGAGGAAAATACATGGACGGAATTTATATTTATGTCATTAGGCCCGATAAATCGCGATTACAAATAATCTTGGTCGATTTTATAAGCTCTGAAGAGAATTTTCCCCCCAAAATAATTGCCTGAATTGCTTGGGAATCTTTAAAGAAAAATTTCACGCTGAAATCTGAGAGTCTTAGGTAAACTACTTGAGGTATTAAACAGCATCAACTTGAATCTATAAAAATCTCCAATTGAAACTCACAGAAATTCCATTCGAAAGGAAATAAATCATTAGCAAAAATATATTGACTGTGTTGTGACGAAAGTCATTTTCGACTTGTCTTCATATGTTAAGTTGTAGGTTATTTAATTCTTATTCATAGAATTTCCATTGGGATGAACTAAAGGTGATCTTATCCTCTTGATTAGCAATTAAATTGTCAATGGGCTTATTGGTGAACAATAAATCAAGAAATCATTACCTCCAATATCATAATTGGGGCCAATATTCGTCCAAGAGGGTTTTCCACCTCGATCACTCTGACCACGTTTTGCTCCATCAGCACCAAACTCAGCCCCATTTCCCACCACTGAAGATGCCCCAGATGCTGCTGAGGAGTGAGCATTACCCACGCTCGAATGAGCCTCACTGTTCGCCTGATTATTGACAACACTTCCGTGAGCCCCAGCACTCGCTTGACCCAGTGCAAAGGAATTACTATCAGCCTGAGAATGTCCTCCAAATGCTGGGTGATTTAAATTGAATGCATTTGCATCAGAGGCGGATATTCCAGAGAGTCCTGCGGAGAAAGAGCTGGATTGACTGGCAGATATCCCGGAGCTTAAATGAAAATGATGAAGTGAATTAGATTCAGCAAATTCTTTCCGTCTTGGAAATTACTCCGTTTTAACGTATGAAAAGATTTAGCGGAGAAACCTAGCATTTCTCTAAGAAATTCCATCAAATTTTCATTTGAATTCTCTGACAGTTCAAATAAGTTCGAATAAGTCTATTGATTTTTTTGCGCATAGGTTGCGAGATTTCCGTATGAGTCATTCCCTTCAAATTCTTTTCTGTAAAAATTTTTGGGCTCAAATTTTTCAAGTTTTTTTTCACAACATTTTTTCTCTCACTATAAGGTGCAGAGCGAACTTATAATATAAAATTGGTGACCAACAAAATATCTATTGAACATAGCTCAGTAACGTTGCATTATTTTGAATATAAATTGGCATTAAAAGCTTCTGGAATTGCCGATGAAATCTCATGTTAATGTAAGCCCAATCTGTTTGGAGCGTGACTTCAAATACTGCATTCTGACTGCCCGCGATCCGTTCTTGGGAGAAATAATAATCCGATAAATACCCAAAATTATCTTGTATTCCGCTCAAGCTTCCATGGAAACAAAAAATGGTGTCAAATTTCGCAAGAAGATCCCCAAATTATCCGTAAATACCCGATAATTTTGAAGCACACGTATGAAAAAATTCAATAGAAAACCTGGCGAATTCGCTAGAAAATTCTATTGGAATTCTATAGGAATTCTATGGGATTTATATAGGATTTCTAGGGGAATTGTATTGAAAAATTCTATTTGTTTTTTGCGCTGATTCTATTGTATACTCGATGAGAAAAAGTCAATAGATTTCAAATTTCTGTTTGAATTTTCCTTTTGAGGTTTTTTCTATAAGAATGCTTGGGCATCAATTTTCCAAGTTTTTTTCCACTGGGATTCTATAATGCAAAACAAAACAAAATTCAGCGGAAAAAACTTAGAAACCTTGTACCCAATAATTCTCATAGAAGAAATCTCAAGTGAAAAATTCTAATAGAAGTTCAAAATATATTGAATTATTCCGTCCAAACAGGCAATAGAATCAGTGCAGACAACAAGTAGGGTTTTTCAACTAGAAATCCTATAGATATCCTATGGGAACCCCATAGAATTCCAATAGAATTTTCCAGCGAATTCGCTAGGATTTCCTATTATACATGCAATAGAATCAGCGCAAAAAAACAAGTAGAATTTTTCAATAGAATTCCCATAGAAATCCTATGGAAACCCTATAGAATTCCTATAGAATTCCAATAGAATTGTCTAGCGAATTCGCTAGGTTTTCCTATCAGATATGCAATAGTATCAGTGCGAAAAAATAAGTAAAATTTTTCAATAGAATTCCAATAGGAATCCCATAGAAACCCCATAAAATTCCTATAGAATTCCAACAGAATTTTCTAGCGAATTTGCTGAGTTTTCCATTTAATTTTTTCATGCGTGCACCCGGGCTACTACAGCTTTTAATCCTCTCCCTAATTATTCTTAAACTTTCATCAAATATTAAAGTCCAAAAATAGCGTCATCACTTGTGAGTCACAACAATTAACCCGCAATTTCACTCAAGAAAAACAAACAAAGGAAAAAACCGATGTTTAACAATGACTAATTTGTGCGTCATCTTCTTGAAAAACATGTCAACGCGCAATTACTTTGTGGTACAACATGAAAATAAAGGTGTCAGTCTAGACAATGGAACCCAGCGCTTCCACTAAGCACTTGAGAATTGTCGAATCTCCCGATGACTGAAGAGGAAATGGAAAAAAAAATTGATCGCGGATTTCTGGTCTCCCTCGTTAATCACTCACCCGGCATTACCAAAGCTCCCTGAACTGCTACTCTGGCTCTGGGATAGACTGATACTATCCTTGGTACCACCGACACTCAAGGAATGAGCATTACTCCCGCCAGCACTGAGGGAGAAACTCGCCGAGAATGGTAGAAATCTTGGTTGGGGTGAATTTCCATTCTTCGGTGAGGCTGCCTCTGGCGTTAATTCCGGTGGTGTATTCCACCTCCTCTCGGCTTCATCATTGAAGTACACACGATCCTCTGTGGAGATTCAATGCTTGAGGGTTACGATAAATACGGAAAAATGAAAAGTATAGGAATGAGATAGTCATTCTGGAGCTATTGACTCTGAGCATAAACCGTTTGTCTTAAAAATGTCCCGTACGGAGAGAAAAATTGGATAAAAATTACTTACAAGGAACACTAGGGAGGTGTTCCCCTCCAATTTTGATCAAACTCATATATGTTGTAGAGGACTCAAAACTCAAGGACACGTATTTTTTTTATCGGCTAATACGCGGCTTTAGGAGGGAGGAAACCATGGTCAGAAGGTGACCACTTTCGGGGGGTGATCTTTCAATCCCACCTATAACGAGGGTGTTTTTACAAATGTTCATCACGGTATTGAATAGCTTGTGAGAAGTTATAAAAATCACAATTGATAGTTCCTCCGGGGGTTGAAATTGAGGGGGGGGGGGGGAAACTACCCCGTAAAAATTTTGTTAAAAAAAATACTGTATTATTTTATGATCTTCCCGATGCAATCATTTCCATAACATCCTGAGCCATATATTTTTTTAATATAAAAAAATTATTTCCAAGCGTTAGTTAGCCCCCCAAATGTCAACCCCCAGAGGAACTAATCGTGATTTTCAGAACCACTCACAAGCTATTTATTACCTCGATGGAATGAACAAATAACTCCACACTGTAATGGGTGATATTCACAAGAAATCATTTTTTATGTATCCCAGAAAATTTATGTTCTGACGAAAATCCAAAAACACGTATTCTGCATTTTTTCATGTTCTTTCAAACGCAATTGGTTTTATAAAATTCTGAGACATCGTTTTTTTTGAAAAACGAGATTTTTCATAGGGGTAGTTTACCCCCCAAATTTCAACCCCCGGATGACCTATCAATTATGATTTTCATAATTCCTCACCAGCTATATATTACCTTGATGAAATGGATAAAAAACTTTACCACTGTGATGGGTGATATTTCCGAGAAATAATTTTTTTCACCCCAGAAAACTTCAATTCCGGGGAAAATTCAAAAACAGGTATTTCACATTTTTCCATGCTCTTCCAAATGCAATTAGTTTTATTAAATTATGAGCCATATATATTTTTTTTTGGAANAACTTCTCACAAGCTATTCATTACTGCAATGAACATTTGTAAAAACACCCTTCTTATAGGTGAGATTAAAAGATCACCTCCGAAGGTGGTCACCTTCTGACCATGGTTTCCCCCCTAAAGCCGCGTATTAGCCGATAAAAAAAATACTTGTCCTTTAGTTTTGAGTCCTCTACAATATATATGAGTTTGATCAAAATCGGAGGGGAACACCTCCCTAGTGTTCCTTGTTAGTAAACTTTTTTTTTAATCATTCTTCGTTACGCAAAAATTATACGCAATATCGGCCAGTTAAATCATTAACATTCTCCGGGATAATTTTTGACGGAATGCAGGGTAAAAGTAGAAGATAGGTAGAAGATATTTTCGCAATAATCTACAATGTCTTGTTAAATTTGATCCATCAATTAAATCGACAAACGTTTATTGAAAATTTAACAAATGGTTGTCGAATGAAATTGAAAATTTTTTTTTTAATTTTAACTAAATAGTTGTTAAATTCCACCAACTGGTTGTTAAAATTCAACAACTGATTGGTAATGTATTTTTTCAACAACTATTTGGTGAATTTGAAAAACTAGTTGGGGAATTTAACAACTAGTTGGTGAAATTCACACCAAATATATTTCAAGTTTGCTCCATAATTACTTGACTTGTTCGGTAATTTATCTCCAACGTATTTTCTCCAAGCAGTGGCCCTGCACTGACAGAAAAAATAATGTTATAAAGAGAATGTTATTTGAACCAACTATCATTTGGTTGTTAATTTTCAAAAAAATATGATTTCATAGTGAATACCAGTTATCTCTTCTTGAGATACATTTGATTGCGAGACATCGAACTTCTCTAAAATTCAAGTTCCTCTTATTTGTCGCAATAATGAGAGTATTTCATTTCTTGCTAGCCAAAAGTTTGCTATCCCCAGAAATTTGTTGGTTTACTCAAAAATCAAAATTATTCTCATGACTAAATACGTTGTTACCTCAATCCACACGATCATACGTTGTTCTAAGTAAATTATAATTGAAGTGAGGGTATGTCGAATCAGAATGAATATTGTTACGCGGAAAAAGCTTCGAGATTCTAGTAAGATGTCGTTGAGTTGAAAGAAGTTTATATTTCGTGACTAGAAAAAATCGCATTAGTTTACAATAACAGAATCACAGATTACGGCAACTGAACACAAACTTGGATATCACAAATTTCGTTCAATGTGATGTACGGAAAGCTCAATTTAAACATCGGCTTCAGCCGAGAAAACAACATTGAATTCATTCCTCAATGTAATCATCTCCTAGGTACGAATTTTTGATCAATTCATGAAAGTAGAAAATTTCTTGACTGCAAATTATATTAGGTTAAAAAAAATTAAACTTTTCCATTTTTGTGGTGATTACATGTGACTTGACGACAAGGACTTTTTTATTTAATTCAAGTAAATGTATCTCAAGAAGAAATAATTGATATTCACCGTCAGATCTTACTTATTTGAAAGTGGTTCAATTATATAGTACTTTTTCCAAGAAAGAAACATCTCAATAAAAATAATTTTCTCTAACAGTATGGAGATTGCGTGGCGATGTTGTTATAAGTTATAACTCAATTATGGAAGCATTTGCAATATCAATATTGAATGTTTCATTTGGTTATTTCCTACGGATGAACTTCCACGAAGAGTTTATTATTCATCACGAATTTTTTATTTGGAATCTAATCGAGTACGTGACTTCGAGACAGATTCCGTGGACGGATGAGTGGCGAAAGGTGATAAGTCCAGTAACTCTTCGGATTATTTCGTATTGGAACGTCTTCTAACACAAGGGGTGCGGGGGGGCTTATCAAAGTTTTCCATTCGCTATCCGATCATTCTTTAAATTTCATAATTGCTTCGCTCTCGAATGGTAGATGAGAAAATTGAAGTGTTCTAATCATTTTGAGTTCTGCATTCCACTTCAACTCTCTACAGACGTGTTCAATCATTTTTCTGTTGACATGATTGTGTCAGTGGAAAGTGATAAGAATCATATCAATAACATACTTTTAGAACTCAGGGATATCAGGTCAATTAAAGCAATCTTTAATTTTTGTATCGAGAATTGGAAGCTGCGAGCCTCCACTTTGAACGAATAGATTTGTTAAATTTTTGTATGACCTTATATAGTCTGTACCTAAGTACATCCATTCTGATCCTCTGATTGCACTGTGAGCTGAGTAAACATGCATATGAGTGTTTCTGTTTGCTGAGATTATATTATTTCCTATTGTTATTAATTTTGTAAAACCCGCATTGTAATAGATGATTTATCTAAATACAATAAAACACATAACATACAAATCAATAACAAATTTAAATCAACTCAAGAGTGCACGGAAGAAAATATTCTCGAATCGAATATATAATATTCTGGAAACCGAAATAGCATATACAAAAAAAGTTATTCTGGAATCGAGAATTAAATATTTCGGATACCGGAATCGAAATAATATTCCGGAATAGTGAAATAGTCCTGATTCCAGAATATTATGCACCACATTCAAGGATATTTTATTTTCCGTGCGATGTGTAGAATTTATATAAAATTCAGTAGCGAAGTAGTAAAACGCTACTAGTTAATTTGGACTATTGGCCAGTTTTCAATGAATATCTCGGAGTGTAAGGGAGATAGCAAAATTTTTGTTACAACCTTTTTTGTAGAGCCAATTGAGAGCTACAACAAAGGTAATTACAAAAATTTCGCAATCTCCCTTAGATTCGCAAATATTCCTTAAAAACTCAACTGGAAGATAATTCGACGTAAACCATTTTATCACTTCGCTACTGAATTGAATTTGGAGCAAATTCTACAAAAAAAATTGTCAGAAATATTTCCCAAATCTTCTGAATTCACTCGTCAACTACGACAATTCTATTGCACCTCCATTCTCCAGTCAATCCACCGCGAACTGTACCATAAACTCAATTAAGACAAGTCAACAACTCCACAAATCACTCAAACTCTTCTCACGCTGAAACAATAGCTTCAATCTCTAATTACGCAATCCACCCGCGATTTTTGCGAATGTTACACTGGAGGACTTCTTACCTGCGGCTCTCAAACCCGTGAAGATGAGTAAGAAAACAACTACTCTACACCTCGCCATGACTGACCACATTCTGACCCGATACGACGTGCTCTCGCCCTTTTTTAACAAGTAAATTCGACCTTAGGAGATTCATTAGGATGCGCAAGGTGTTGCAGGCTATTGCCTCTTCGGTTTTACCAGCGTTTATTCGACACACTCATCGATGAGCAATTACATCACACCTGAAATTTTTTTACGGTGTGTGTAGATTTCTATCAGCCTAAAGGAAATATATTTTTCTGAAAAAAGTCTGTTATTTAGAATTCAGAGATACTTTGACAGTGCTTTGGAAGAACATGGCCTCCAACAGTGAGACTCATTCGTCACTCCTGAGGCAGTAACTCTCAGTTAGATACTGAAGTGCTTTAGAAGAGAAGATAAAGATATGGACGTTCTAGGTGAATGTCGCAGTTGGGGAAGCATTTGACTCACATTTGCACCTTGAAATGGTCAATTTGCGTCGATAATATTTGAGGGTCGGGGGCACAATTGGGTATTCATTAAAAAATGTAAAAATTCGAGGAATGATTTCACGTATGAAAAAATTCAATAGAATACCTTGAGAATTCGTTAGAAAATTCTATTGGAATTCTATAGGAATTCTATGGGTTTCTATAGAATTTCTATTGGAAGTCTACTGAAAAATTCCATTTGTTTAGTGCGCTAATTCTATTGGATGTTCACTAAGGAAAAGTCAGTGGATTTCGAATTTCTGTTTGAATTTTTCTCTTGAATTTTTTCCATTAGAATTATTGGGCACAAAATTTTACTGTAGAATCCGAGTGGAAAAAACATAGAAAATGGATACCCAAACATTCTCAGAGAAAAAATTGCAAGAAAAATTTTTTAACAGAAATCCAGTCGAAATCCATTGACTTTTTCTTATTGAATACCCAATAGAATCAGCGCACAAAACAAATAGAATTTTCCAATACAACTCCAATAGAAATTCAATGAAAGTCCAAATTTTTAAGTAATAGAAAGACGAGAAGTCTCCAACTTTATTCAACTTTTTACCTTCACGCACGAAAAAATTTAATAGAAAAACCTAGGGGAGCATGGGGCAAAATGAAACACGGGGCAAAATGACACAGTGGGAAAATCTCGTCATCTAAAGGAGATAGGACATTTTTGAAGAGGACCTTTTTTGTAGCTTGTAAAATTCTCTACAAAAAAGGTTTTATTGAAAATCGTTCTATCTCCCTTAGATCACAAGATTTTCTTGCTGTTTCATTTTGCCCCGTGTTTCATTTTGCCCCACCGTCCCCTATCAAATTCGATAGAAAATTCTATTGAATTTCTATTAAACTTTCTATTAGTTTTTGGCTGATTCTATTGATATGTTCAATAGAAAACATTCAATAGAAAAAGTCAACAGAATTCGATTTTTCTATATAATTTATTCTTTTCATATATTTTGTATAAAATTTGCTCGACTCAAATTTTCTAAGTTTTTTTCATTCTATTTTTCTTTTCTTCTCATCAGGAAAATCAAACGAAAAAACTTAGAAAATTTGAGCCGAGGAAATTCTATAGAAAAAAAAAATCTGAATAGAATAATATCTCATAAAATATCTCAATAGAATAAGTTATATAGAAAAATTGAATTCTATTGACTTTTTCTACTGAATATTTTCTGTTGAACTTTCTGTTGATTTCAATAAAATCGGCCAAAAACTAATAGAACAGTTCAATAGAAATTCAATAGAATTTTCTAACGAATTCGATAGGTTTTTCTACTAAATTTTTTCATCCGTGTTGCGGCACGACGTTCACATCGCGACCACTGAAACGTTAACCCTAGTCTCGTCACCAAACGCGACCCTGCGACTCTGGTCACCGCCGCGGGGATTCCCCGCCGTGTTATTTAGGATCTGGCGTTGCCGAATTCACTCTACACTGCCCGGACTCATTTAGCGAGTTTCCGGCAACGTCGCGTGATGGGCAATTTCATTTAACATGAAAAAAAAAAAATTCATCTGTTCGAAATAGTTTATTTTCTTTAGGAATTTCGGAAAATATGTTGCTTTAAAAACTACTATAATTCTTCAGACACCTCAATTGACAAAGTCAAATTTTTTTGAATTTTTCCGGTTAGCTAGTCAATTGTAATTAAAGAAAAACGATGTGCGGCGGAGTTTCCTTCATACTGTGACCAATCTAGGGTTAATAATTTTTTTTTGACAAAACCATATTCCCTTCAATTATTTCTCACAGTTATCTTCCGTCCCTCGAATGCATTGAAACCCAACATTTAATCGAGAAGATGAAACACGACAAATGAGATTGATGCCGGGTTTATGTGGCACATTAGCTCCTTGATTAAGATAAATTGATGTAGTGCTTCTTACGTGGTTTCACACACAGAGAACGATTGAAGCGACGCGGTCCTTGGGGAAAACCCACTTGCGTTTCAACTTGTCATTGGAGTAAAGGCAAACGTAATGGTGAAAAAATAAATCAAACGATTCAATTTTATTTCTAGCCACCCGGATGTTAACTTCACAATGGATTTAATTCATCGAGAATTTTTTATTTTGATGCTAACTTGTAGCTACAGAAGTATACATAAATTATATCAGTCTTATACAAAAATGCTATCAAGGATGAAAATAAAGATAACGATATTTTAATCGTGAACACCATCAGAGGATGAATATTTTTGAAAAAGTGTTAATCAAATTTTTCATTCATCTCATGTTCTCCGGACGTATGAGACTTTTCGAAGTACATTTTTGTAGACTTTTAAATCTATATTTTCTCATCATTTATCTCAGGACTCCAGACAAATTTCGTATTCAGCTTGGCACTTTCAGGTGTAGCAAGTCCCCTGATTGATCCCAATTGTGAAGTTGATGAACTGGGAAATTCTTTAGGATTTTTTTCATCTTCAAATATTACGCTGTCAGTATTGGAACCACTAGACGGCTGATTGCCCGGTGGAATGTCAATACCCGTTACTTTCACAATTTGGCTATTGTCCTCGTTACCACTTGGCGTTGTAGATCGTTCGTATTTCACGGATTTCGGGGTGGTACTAGCTATCGAATTTTCACTAGCAACCGGAACAGTCGTTTTCACTCGGCTATTCTTCAATGGAATCGTCGAGTCCACTCCCCCAGGCAAATGATCGATGGCCGTTGAGACTGGAGAAGTTAAAGGACTTGTCGGTTTGACTGCTATTTTCTTCTTGTTGTTAATTTCCTCATTTTTCGACGGTAGTATCGGCTTTTCACTCGGAGGACTCTCCTTCGTATTGCACGCTGAATTGACTCCACCTGTATAATGAGATTTTAGTTGAATTCTTTACTTTTTGCATCACTTGAGGGTTTAATTTTATTGGGGCTAAAAGTTTTCAGAATTATTTGAAATAGCGAGCGTTAATTACTCAGGGTTATTCTTCTTAACGTTTCGACGATGGACTTCTGAGACTTCTCGAGATTCTCGATCCGCTTCTTCAGTAATTTCATTCCGTTTTCAGCGGGCTCGTTGTCGCGGAAGAGGCTGCTCACTGAGGAGAACGGCCAGGAGGGAGAGAATGTAATCCACCCGTCTGCTCGGGGTCTCTCCGAGACTGGTGAGTCATCTGGGCTGTGGCCAGTGGTGGGAATTCCTGCGAGAGAATTTTCGGAATTTCATTTCGATTCGGGATTGTAGCGTTTTGCGAATATTTGGGGTGGGAATTACTCGATGCAACGGGTAACGCAATTATGAGATGCTTTCATGCGAAAAGATGAAACTATAAATCGAGGATTGTTTAGTGGATTCTATGATTTTAACCCCTCCCGAACGAGCCCTTTTGTTTCCAAGCGGGGAGTACGCTCGGTACAACTAGAATGTAATGACTTCTAATCGACGGAAAATTATGAAACACGAAACACCTTAATCTAAGAGAATCCCCGTCCCCTGTATTTTACGATTTTGAGGGAAAAAGGTGAACAAAAAAATTTATTGCACGTTCACAGGTAATTTTGAATTCTCAATGAATAAGAAATGGGGATATGAAAGCGAAGTAGTTGTCAGATAATCCAAGAACTCGATTTGAAAAAGTGCAAAAATTATGAAATTTTGAGGTTAAACATGGGGATTTTCAGCGAGTCAAGTTTTCAGAAGATTTTAATAAGTCACTGGTGTAAATCTGCACTGAAAAAAGATATTGATGTGTTCCATATATTTGAAAGTGGGAATACAAATTTTTATGGTTTTTTCATTCACGAAGTTTTGAAAAGCGAACAATTCCCTGTCAACTTAAGGGTTAAGTGGTCGCATTGTGGGGGAATCCCCGCTAAACCATGCGCCACCTATTGTTGAGCGAGTGAGATTGGATAAAATATTGTTCAGAATATTCATTGAAGGAATTCCCAAAAAAATGTGTTCAACCGTGGAAAATCCGAAAAAGTACGGGGATAGTAAGATGTTTGGGAAAAATGAAATCTTGCTTGAAAAAAGATGTTAACTTGAACAAAGTACTTGGATATCCTTAAGGATGTTCTACACCCTTTCTGCCAAAAGTCACGTTTTTTAAATTTTTCTGGCAAACTTATGATGGAATTGACGTGAAAAAATATAACGTTTTTGCGTTTTGTCATTATTTAATGACTGACGAAATTTTAAGGTGGTGCGAACATTTTCCTGCGTTTTCTCTAAACTTTTAAAAAGAATCACAAAACTGTAGAAAAAACGCATGAAAATTATCGCACCACTACGCAACTTCGTGAGCCATTAAAGAATGACAAACCACAAAATCGTTATATTTTTTCACGTCACTCCCATCGATAATTTGCCAGAAAAATGAAAACAACGTCAATTTTGGCTAAAAGGGTTTCGAACATCCTTAACTATCTATCAAAGTGAAGTTTGCTTGGAGTTCTGAACGGTATTTGTTTCCCTTATTTTTGTCCTTATTCATAATTAATTAGTCATCTACGAAAATGTTAGTGATGAAATTATTACCATAAATCTCACTGAACAAGACAAGTCCCACCAAAATCACCAACTTAACCATGTTCCGCCAATTATCTTTGCGACACAAGATATGTAATGTGCAAGCACCAAAGATATTCCCCAGACTGAAGCCCCCAGCATCCTTGAACTGGTTTATATAGGGAATCAAGGGTGTATCAGTACTAAAGGAGCCATTAGGCTAACGAGTCTCCTACCTTTTCTCTATCCACCGGCTACATCTCCATTTTCAACGGAGTCCACTCTGCCCTCGTTAGTCCATTGTTTTTTCCTTGCGCCAGCCTCTTTTTCTTCACTTCGAAAAACTGTTAAGGTGAGTGCTCCATCCGATAAGAATGAAAAACAGGGGGTGGGAGATGTATTGTTGCATAGATATCTGGGATGCGCTTTTCAAATGCTTTCAAAAAGGAATGCAGCACTTAGGATAATTGTTTTGATCCTTTGACCTAAATTCTTTGGATTCTTGGTCGTCCGTAGTGGACCATCCATTTGTCAAATTTTTTAGATTATTCCGAAATGTATGTGATGAAAGAATTTTTGTTGACAATACGAAAAATTTGAAGGATTTATAAAAAAGAAACACTGAAACAAAAAACATCCAGGGTTTTCGCATTCTACAGTAATCGAAAAAATTATTTTTGTTGAGATGTTTCTTTCTTGGAACAATTATTATATGCTTGAACCAATTTCAAATAAGTAAGATCTTACGGTGAATATCGATAATTTCTTCTTGAGATACATTCACTTGAATTAAATAAAACAGTAATTTTATTTATTTTTTTCTAATTTTGTGAGATTTTTTCTACATTTCAATTTTCTTTCTAATCTCGAAAAATTTGGTTTCTTATAAGGTGCTCTGTTATGTTGTAACCTCTGAAGTAATTATTGTCAATAGTACTAAGTAATAATTTCTTAAGCGTAAATCACGTTTAATAAAACGTAATGAACGTTTAGGTTTTTCTGTGTGCTGTACCACTGGTTCAAAGAACAAATCATTGCTCCATTGTTCATTCGACAAATTAGATGACTAGATTTCTTTATTCAGAAAAGGAAATTCCGAAGACGTCAATAATTCAACCCATCACCCAACATCCTCACCAATAATCAATAGCTAGTATCCAATTACCGCCGATTATCTCGATGATCACGAATCTCCGGGAGACCACAAAAACATATATTTAAATCAGCGATAAACTTCACACTCCAGTGGCGTTGAGTTGCAATCGATTATCTGACATATCCAAGATCCGCAAACGTGAATAATCATGAGGTGCGTCCACTCCACTACCTAAATCCACCATTCAGTTATGATTATCATGAACGGATGCAACCGAACAATGTTCTTACATTTCCGCACTTTCCCAACTCGTTCAGTCGAAACAATAAAAATGCAGTCGAATTTCAGTATAATATACCTCAAGCAGCAGTTTTGTATTGGTCGTGGGGTACACTGTTAGATTTATTTTTTAATTTCATGGAGGACATGATAAGAAGTCTCATGCGAGTGACATTGAATCGAATTTAGGGAAAAAATGGTTATGAAATTTCCAGTTTTAAGTAAAACTCACAGAAATTCATGAATTTTCGGTGGAACATGAATATTCAGCAACAAAATAACTTGAATTTCCAATTTTTCCCTGCATGTTCCTGATTTTGCACAGAATAATTAAACTGAAAAATCAAGTTTTTTATTGATTTCCAGATCGTTTGAACAGAAGATCAATGAAATATTCAATTTTTCAATGACAAGATTTCCTGAAATTTCAGTGGAAGTTAAACGCGATAGAAATTTCCGAAATTTGGCATGGAAAATTCAAACGAAAATTTTTAACAGTGTATTTTCTACATAGAAAGAAAAAAGTTAAGTACAACTTATTCGAAAAGTCAAGTAGAGTAACCAGGCCAATAAATAGACGGTTAAATACAATTTGAGGTCCGTCAAGAGATCAAAAAGTGTTAAATCACCTAAATACGCCTAAATTATGGGAAAATAATGATTTGAAGTGGAAACAATGAAAGAATAAATGATAAAATAACGAAAAAGTGGAATACGACCCCAAAAGTAGTGAAGCGGTAAACCGAGTTAATTCGATTTTGACTATTAGCCAGTTTTTGCTGAATATCTCGGAATCTAAGAGAGATAGCAAAATTTTTCTCATGACTTTTTTTATAACGCTCTATTGGCTCTACAAAAAATGTCATGACAAAAATCTTTCTATCTGTTTTAGATTCCGAGATATTCGTCAAAAACTAGCCAATAGTAAAAAACGACTTAACCCGGTTTACCGCTTCGCTACTGAATTGCAGTATTCGAGGTACCGTGGACCAATCAGAACAGAGTTATATCGAGAATTTCGTTCCTCCTCGGTTCACCCAATCAGAGCGCAGTATTCGAGGTCACGTGACACGTTCGCGTAGGTTTCATTTTGATAATTCACCAGGCTACTAGTAAATTATCAAAATGATGATAATTCCATAGTTGCCTGTCAATTGTTCTCTCTGATTTTGGACTTTTCAATTAGTGAAAAAAGCTTGCATAAAGTTGTGGTGATTTGATTCAAGATAAAGAGTCATTCAATTTGCGTCGATTTGACCACAATTCTTTACGAGAAATTAATAACAAGATTAACGATTTTTTTTTAAATTCTGTGGAGATGGCACACAGTTTCATCCGCTATTACATATTTATACATACACCCTCGAGGGACTTCACTATAAAGTTTTTTTTTCAATTACTAAGGGATGAGAAGCCCTTCGACTGTCTTTCGGGCAGTCAAATATGCCGAGAATTTCTAAATAACATTTTCTTAATTTTCCTCCACGTGCAGATATTCGACTGTAAGAGCACAAAAAATTCTCCGCGAACATTACTGGAACTATCACAGTAATCTCATCATGGTCGACCTTGACAATGATCTCTCCTTGACCATAGACACGACCCCAATTCAACAAGGAAAACCCATTCCCAACGTCGCTACAAATATGCTCGCTATCGCCAATTGAGATAACCCTCGAGCCCCTCTCAAACCCCTCAGCGTGAACCTCAATTATTTTTCTCAATGTCTATAAATTCCAGTTTCATCACAATATTGAGGAAAACCATGCGATGAGTTCAAGAGGAGATTCACCTCGGGAAAAAAAAAACCTTTGCGTTTTTCGAGAAAAACACTTCAAAAACACTATTTTCCGCCTGATTTTTCCTCAGGCGGTTACACGCACGTATCATATAATAGTATATTTCAGCACATGTGGGGCAATATCGTCATTAACGTGTGTGGGGTTTACAGCATGAGCCGAAGGCGAGTGATGTAACCACACACGTTAAGGACGAAATTTCCCAACAAGTACTGAACAAAATTTTATGTCACGAAGCCTGAAACCGGCTGAATTAGACACGAGACGCGAAGCATCGAGTGTGTAATCCAGCCGGTTTCAGGCATGAGTGGCGTAAATAATATTAAAAAATTTTTTTTCTTCAGAAACAAAAAAAATTTTCCCGAGGTGAACCTCCCCTTAATAATAAAATCCCTAAAAGAATGAGGTTTTCTGGATGGGGCGCTTTTGTTACCAAGCGTAGTTTGCGCTCAATACTACTCGAATAGGATTATTTCTAATGAATGGCAAATTATAAAACTAATATCTACACGGAGAGAAATATTCAATGAAAATTACGTATTTTTTTCGTAATTCTGGAGCGAAATGTTATTGTAGGGAATTTTACGGAACTGTCGCGGAATTTTTCCAGAGCGTTCCGTAATTTTTATCTGAATCTCCTGTCCATGCCACATATGGACCCGAGAGCTTATCCTATCAAAGCATCGTAAAAACCGTTTTCTCATAAGATGGAAAAATCAAGTTCGGGGGGGGTTTTTTGGGGATAACTCCCGTTTGGCTTACATCTCGCGTATTAGGAGCTCGCATTTCATTGTTTATTATTTCCTAAAGTGTGTACTATAGCTAGTCAAATTTTTGTTCAATAGCTGGCGACTGTTATAAATATTATCTATGAAAAACATGAGGACAATCTTAATCTTTACATCGAACTCCTCCGAAAACACACGTTTACCGTACCCCGCGGTCTGTCAAACCGCTCTCTGTGCGCGGATGATATTTCCCGTTTGTTTGACTGAATGAATCAATACTTTTTCTATCTGAAGATTCATATGAGGGCTAAAACGGAGAAAGGTAAAAAAAGAGAAAGGTTAAACGATGGAAGCGTCAAACGGTGAAGGGTTAAACAGAAGAGGCAAAACGTATGAGTATATTTAATTTAATTTTTTTTTCTTCCCAATTTTTCTCTGTGCATAAATGACAGTAAATAAAACGAGGTGAATGTCCCAGTAGTTGAACGTACAAATAGAACATCATAACTTCGGCTGGTCGAAAAAAAAACACTCATTACGAGCGTGTCGATGTATCCCTCTAAATAGATTGCCAAAAATGTGGTACCAATTAGGACTTTTCCGGGCTGTTGCGAAAGGGTTCTTAACTGGGATAATTTTCGATGAAATGCAGGATAAATTGTAGACTTTCGGCAGAAATTACCCTCACGTTCGAAAATTTTCCCGGGCCAACAGGGACAAATTCACTACTGGTCTCGCAGTTTGTCCCCAATATAGACCGAAAAAATACTGAAAATCCAGTTCGCTTCACGATTACTTAACCTGTTCAATAATTTTTCTCCAACTTTTTTCTCCGTGTACAAGGCTACTTATAAAAACAATAGTTATTTTCATCACAAGGTCCGCAAAGTATTTTCTGACGAATGTGGCTTTATTGGCCGAGCCGAATAATACTTTGAAAACGAAAATACTTTGTGGACGAATGTGATTATAGGCCTCGCCTTCGGCTCGGCCAATAAAGCCACATTCATCAGAAAATACTTTGTGGACCTTGTGATGAATGCAATTTTTCGTCAGAAGGCCCGTAAACCGCGATCTAACCGAGCGAAGCGAGCGAGCGAAGCGAAGTTAGAATCGCGGTTTACCGGGCCTTGTGACGAAAAAGAGTTTATTATATAAATTGAGCGGAAAGAATAATAAAACGACGTAAAAGCAAAAGTGACACGTCCGCATACTCGCCATCAAGATAAAAGAATATCAAGAGAGAAAGAGACGATCGTACATGAAGATGGCTGATAGAGAGGAGCAGAACAAATACGCAACACTACACTGATAGAAAGCATTAGGTATTGTTAACAAATGGATTTGGTTAGAGCCTAGGGTCTATTCGGTCTCACCAAATATTCATTCGTTAAAAGTTAACAAATGTATATGTGAAGAGCTCTGTTTGTCTCGACTTCCAGCTTTCAAGTGAACCATTTGTTAACTATCAATGAATGGTGGAGTTGAATATTAGCAAATAAATGTTCGTTAATAGTTACCGAATCTCGTTTGGCATCAATGAGTCATTCTATCAGTGAACTTCCCTCTTGAAAAGGTGTCGCCTCGACAACAGGGGGCCTTTTTTCGAGTTTGAGGTGAATGGATTTGTCAACGGAAGTGGTTGCGTTCACGTATCACGTTGGGGAACAAAAGTTGGAGATTTCCAATTAGTAAATCGTGATTCACCAACCACCAATCGTAATTCCAACCTTTGGCAATCATTGGCAATCAATGAAAACTAAACATAAATTCGACTGTGAATTAAGGTTTTTTCCGACTAAACAAAAAAAAAGTCCTTCGTCGGAATTCACATTTTTCTCCAACATATTCCGAGGAAGGAATTCATAAAAAATATGAAAATATTTCTAAAGTGATGCTTGATTTTTAAAAACTTTTAAAATACTTCTAATTGAAAAGTCAATACACAATTCATCTGTTAGCAGAAGATGTTTTGAGTTAATTTGTGTTGAAATTAATAAAATAATAAGTTTCGATAAATCGATATTTGCGTCGAAGTTTTTTGAAAGAGGAAAAAAAATTTTGATTGTTAAAAAATATGCCAGTGTTCTTTTGCTGAACAAAGTTATAGAAATCATTGACTTGCATTCCATGAAATCGTTGGAAATCATTGGAAATCAATGGAAATAATTGGAAATTACGAATAAAAATGTTGAAAGTCAATGAAATCAGTAATCATGGAAATCATTTTGGAAATCGATTCCATTTGGAAACCATTGTGTCACATGCAGTAACCGCCCCCTTGAAAAAACAACAAATACGCAATAAAACATTCCCAAGGTCACCGCCCGAAAAATAGATAATTCATTATTGTGTACACCTCTGACCAGCTCATTTCTACTCACTCATCTTATCGCATATATTCGATAGAATACTGAATTGATGCCTCATCACGAGGACTCGAGTAAGGAAGAGAGGAAAACCAGGAGACATGTGCTTGTCGTTGCCGGCGCGTACGCTATATAAGATGATCGCGCGTGGAGTGGATGTTAGTCATTCTCTTTTTGCGAACTGCGACGTACGGAAATATTTATTTAAAAGAGTGCGCAGCAAGTGTCTGAAACACTCGTGCCTAATCGAGCACTGAGAGATTATTAATCTCGTTATAAATATTCTTGTATTTTTTATTTCCTCTTGTCATGATCATGGATACCAAGGTCATCGCTTGTGTTGTGCTGGTACTGATGAGCATGGGCGATTCTAATGGAGCGAGACTCAGGAGAGAGGCTAATGGTGAGTGCATGGGGATTTTTCATGCTTTTATGCACATTCCGGGGAAATTTCAGAATTTAGGATAATTCATTCGTAGTGTGGAATTTAGAATGAGAGGATTTTTTAAAATCTTTTGAGAGATTATCTTCGATAGCTTCCTCAATTCTGATTTTGACCAATCAGAGTGCAGTATTCGCGGTCACGTGACACTTTCCACACTGACAATTTCCCCGGCTGCAGGGAAATTATCAGACTGATAATTTCCCTGTGGCATATCAATTGTTTTCTACGAATTTGACAGATGTTCTTCATATTTTGATGAAATGTGTCCCGTAACCTCGAACATCGCACCCTGATCGGCCAAAATCAAAATTGAAGAAGTGGTACTCTGAATACCCCTTGACCTTCAAAATTAATCGAATATTTCCCTCAATTTTGCCTGCATATCAACGATCGGGATTAGTTACGCTGTAAAATCCCTCTGCAACACTAATCTCGTTCCTGTGCAACGAAACATTCGGGAAATATCCGATAATTTTGAAGGTCTTAGGGTATTACAGTTGATAAAAATTCAAGTTTCATTCATTCTTCTGACGCCAGGGCAACTTTTGGTTTAATTCCTTGTTGAATATTGCATAGTATTCTTGCGTTCATCCTAAATTTCCTGCACAATTAGCATCTAAAGCATCTCTGAGAAATCCCCAAAAATATCATGATCCGGTATTTTTCCTTGTTGAATTATCATAACTAAGCAAGCAGGGGTTCGAGCCTATTCGACAGAAGGCAAGTGACCGTTACTACTTGCTTCATTAGTCTTTCTTTTATTTATTTTTATCAATTCTATTAGTAATAAGCTTCCGAATGGATCCGTAGCAATTCCCTATCGTTGTGACAGGCATAACCGTAACCACATGCTACAGGGTGTCTACAGGAAAATATTTAACCTTTTAATGAAATAGATTTATACAAGAGTATAATCGGTACGAACCTTCAGTATTGTAAGAGCTATAATCATACCAAACATCAACTTGCTATCTTACAGCTTTATAAACCTGTAGGTTTCCGCAAGCTAAATTAAAAAAAAAAAAAAAAACTTGCTATCTTCATTTTTCTCAAGTTATCGTGTGTACAAGAATGAAAAAATTGATAATTTCGTGCGAATGGATATAAATATTTTGATTGATCTAGATAGAAGCCGCCGAGATGAGTATTTTAAAAAAAGAAAAAATCAAATCCGTTGAGTATTTTGTGAGATATTTAACAAAATATATTTACACATAAGGTTGTACATCTCCGGAACCGCTTGGTCGATTGCACCCAGCCAAAGTACCAACCTTTAGAAGTCTAAGAGCTAGAATGATACCAAATTTCAACTCGCTATCTCCATTTTTTCTCAAGTTATCGTGCGTACAAGGTTTTCCATTAAGAAACGGAAAAACGACAATATCTCTAAACTTTGCATTAAAAGGTATATGTTTTGATTGATCTAGACAGAGACCACCCAGACGAGTATTTTGAAAAAAGAAAAATTGAAATCGCTGGAATAGTTTTCAAGATATTGATGAAAAATGAAATGTAAATAAGTTATTATATCTCAGGAACTACTGGACCGATCGGGCTCAAACTGCGCACCAAAATTTAGAGCGCAATAATAGTTACAATAAGCCAAAACTTCAGATTTTTGTCTACAAATTTCAACCGCATTTTTGTTGATTTAAAAAAAAATTAATCACCATAAACCCAAGTTGTCACATACATACACATAGACATGATCCTAAAAACATCATGTCTTCACGTTTCATAATATTCTAGACCATTTGCAATCAAAATTAGAAAATCAAAAAGCCGGTCAAATACGAGACTTCCATTCGGAAGCAAAAAATCGAGATCTTCAATCTAAAAATGTTTACCACGCCAAAAATGAGAATAAAAATATGAGAAATATGGAAATGAAATCGCATAAAGTAGAAAGACAAACGTGAGTTTTTCTCTGCAAATCCAGACGGAAATTACACTGCCGCATAGTAAATAGCGTTTTTGTTGCACCGAAATCCGTCGTAAACAGCGACAAAAATCAATAAACACATTGCGTTTTGTTAACGGCAACAGAAATGTGTTAGTATAGTCAATTTATTCTTCCTGTTATGAGTAATAACAACCCTAATGTATTGGATCTCTCTCTGGAAAAACAAAGTACATTCCATACATAAAACACTTGAAAATCTTCGTAAACGGCTGGCTTTTCAGTAACAAATACATTTTTGTCGTCGTTTATGATGCATTTTGATGCAATAAAAGAGCTAAAAGTGGATTTAATCTTCCACCACCAAATGAAATTTGGTATCAGCACGGTAACAATTAATTCAAAGCCGCAATATTGACTTGAGGAGCACAAGTAATATTTTCTGTGAGACCGGTAATACTGCATGCACTTCAGTTTGCAATAACGAAATGATTTGCTTCGGGAATTGAAATAAAAATGAAATGAAAGAAAATTTTCTGTTAAACCTAGTTGTTCTTCACACGCAACCTTAGCACTTGGTCACCTCCGCGGGGATTCAGGTGTTATTTAGGCTCCAGCGTTGCCGAAGTCACTCTACACTGTCCGAGCGCGTTTAGTGAGTTCCGGCAACGTCGCGTAACGGACAATTTCATTTAAGGCCCGGGTCTTAAATGAATCTTTCGAACGTTATCTCGATTTTTTTTCCATCTTCATAATGTAAAATATATCACAATTTCCATTGGATTTTATATCACGCAGGAGTCCCTAAAAATCATGATTGTACAATCAAAAAAAGTAGAAAAAAATGAACATTTTCAAAGCGCGTTTTTAATAAAGATAAAGAAATAAGTCCGGTAGAGAGTAAATAGTGAATGGATAATTTACCATGGTAACTATCGATCTGACAGCCATTGACTAGTATGACAAATGACGACCTAACAGCCATTAGATACATCGAATTATTAATTTGTAATTTCCTCCCTATTGGCTTTATTTCCCAATATTAGTCGAAGCGCTCTTTGAAAATGCTCAGCTGTTTTTCAACGTTTTTTTTGATTGTACAATCATAACTGTAGGAGACTCGAGGGCTATGTAAAACTGCATAGCAATTGGAGATCATTTCAGATTATCAAAATAAAAAAAATCAACCAAGATCACGTTTGAAAGATAATCCACCCGGGCCTTAACATGGGAATTAGTAATCTTTCTGCTGGAAATAATTTGTTTTCTTCGGGAATTTTAAACATTATATTGTTCGAAAAATTAGTACAGTATTTATTAGTATTGTTCAGACAGTTCCATTGAAAAAGTCTTTTTTTTTTATTTTTCCGGTAGCTAGTCAATGGCAATTGAACAAACACGACGCATTGCGGCGTTTTCCTCGTATGATGCACAATGTAGAGCTAAAGTGGGTGTTAACTGTTAGGGTTCATATCAATGGCTATCCAATTAAGTGAAACAACTAAGGGTACAAAGAAAAAAGGTTTATTTTATAAACATCTGCGGCACTCTAATATTTAATGAGTGAGAAATCACAAAATCAAGTGACTTTATCATTAAATTCTAGTAACAGAATCCTGAATCGCGGAAATTTTGTTCCAAAATTCCAATTGTCGAATTCCCCGAGGTTATGGAAATTGTTGTTACTGTCAAGAATACCTCCAAATTAAGGACCCCTCGCGCACGGGGCCTTTCTGTTACAAAGCCTGACGTGCACTTAATATCACTGAGATTCGATAAATTCTGATGCATGAAAAATTATAAAACGCATGAGAAATTGAAGCTACACTATTCAGCTTTCGAATGGCGTTGGCGGAATTGCATTATCTGTCACAGTTTTGGAATTATCTAGATTTGAACAGAATTATGCGTTTTTGCTTGGGTCCATATACGTATATGGACCCCATCCTTGAGGGGTTAACGATTGATTTGATGAAATGACATGAAATTTCCATTTTTCCCTGAATTTGAGAGATTTTTATGAATTTTCATGAAATAATTGGCCTGAAAAATCGAGTATTTTATTGGTTTTCAGGTCATTCGAACAAAAAATCAATGGAATATTTGATTTTTCAATGTCAAGATTTCCTGAAATTTCATTGGAAATTGAATACGATAAAAAATTCCGGGATCTGACAGGGAAAATTCAGACAAGAATTTTTAACAGTGTATCAGAAGGCTAATAATGAAACCTGTAACAATAAACGATAAAAAAATAAAAAGGCGAGTTTTGTATAATTTCCTTGTTTGTGATTGATGCTATGGTAGATATAAATTCGCGAAATGATATACTTACTTCGCAAGGAATTATTTACACAATTTCATCAAAAAAATATTCCTGCGAGGCACTCAAAACTCGTTAATTGTCGGCCAGTCTTTCGCCAATGTTATGACAACCGTGTATGTGAACAAATGGAAAAGATGTCGGCTATCAGAAATATTTTCATGTGACAAAAACGAGGAATTGAACACACACGGGGGGAATCTCGTCACCGGTTACTTGAACCATGACCTGCTTTTTCGTCTGTCACCTTGAAGCACGTACTTTTCTTTTCTTATCGATGACATCTCCGTGACACCCGCCAGTGCTCACACTGTATACAACAAATACTGCAATAGTCCGTTGAATCTTGAATTCCCGGAAGGAAAAATCTAAAATTTAAAATGCCCAATTGATTGCCACGAAATTTTGTTCTTTAAACTGGGTGATTCATCTGCCTGCGTCATTCTATATGATCCGACGATGATAATACCCGTGTGTGAGTCAGACAGCCATGAAAATACAAATTATGAATGTGATCAAGATTCTATTGACATTTAATCATCCTAACATCAGCTGAAATAATAATTATAATAATATTTCATACCGGCAGGACTGGATAACAAAACGGGAGCGCGAGACTGCAGCCATGTAGTACAACCTCTTATTTCTTATACTCGTTATATGACCTCGGAAACCGAATGAGTTTCAATGTTATCGACACAAATTGACTTCGAATAGTGGAGGTTATCATTAGGTTCACAAAGTATTTCCTGACGATTATGATTATAACTGACATTCGTCAGAATGGAGTTTGTGGACCGTGTGATGTAAAGTGTTTGATGTTACGGCCCGATAAGCCTGAAATATTTTATGTGAAATTTATTGGACCCAGCAACATAAGAGTATATTTCATCACTTGTCCGTAAAGTGAAATTTTACGCACGCAAAGTTGTTTTCGGCCGAGCAAATTTCATTCTATCAAGTTGGTTAATTTCCCTCAATTAAATCTGTTCCACTCCATCAAATATTCTCACGTGGAACGTATAGTTTGTCGGCAGAGCAAATTTTTTTTTTCAGTGCAGAGAGGTAAAACAAAGGAATCGCGCCCATGTGCGGAATTACCACTCGAGCCAACGGCGAGGGTGGTAAGCACCTGGGTAAGGATCTTTTATTGTATCTTCTTATGGTTAGAACTGCAAGGCGGGAGGAAAGTGTGTACTTTGCGTCCGCCGGGGCGAAAAAGAAAATATGAAACAAATCGGATGGATATAAGCAGCCAAAGTCTGAAGAAATATAAGAAATAGGAGGTTCTACACATATAATTATTCCACTGACCCAAATAATCCCTTGCAATTACCTCACATAAACACACGCAACAGCATGCGATGACTTCACTACTGACATATTAAAACGTAAAAAAGTCCTCCTCTTTCCTTTTTCCAACAAGGTGAACGATCCATGACATTGGGGGATTTAATCAACCCCGGTGACCTTGAAACAAGACCATGGAAGCGTGTGGTACCACGTGATACTAGAAAAACAACAAAATCTAATGAAGCTATTCCCGACTACGACTCCATTCCGGGCTCCACAGAACCCTCTGATTCTGAAACCGGTGATGGGAATGATTCTGACACTGTTCCTCCTAGCACTAAACCCAAGCCACCGGTTTCACCAAAGGCACCAACGAAAAATCCACCTAAAAATACTCCTGGCACTAGACCGAATCCTGGGATAAAACGGCCTAAACCAAATCCTAAAAATCCGCTTAAACCTCCATCTGACCCTAACGCAATTGGTGGTGATAATGGGCCAAGCGGCGATACCCCAATAACTCGAATTAATGTTATTCCTGCGCCTAAGCCTAGTTCTAAGCGACCCCCTCCTCCTAAGCCAAGAGAACCTGAGGAATCTGATGATGAGAAAGAACCAGAAGAAGAACCTGAAGATAGAGCCGAAGAACCCGAAGAAACTCCTGAAGAGCCCGAGGAAGAGCCGGAAGAACCTGAGGAAGAGCCAGAAGAACCTGAGGAAGAGCCAGAAGAACCTGAGGAAGAACCAGAAGAACCTGAAGAAGAACCAGAAGAACCTGAGGAAGAACCAGAAGAACCAGAAGACGAAAATGATGAGCCTAAATCCCCGAAACCTAAGCTCCCCCAGCGTCCACCTCCTGCTTCAAAGCGACCCCCGACGCCGCCAAATACCAAATCTCCAAAAAGGCGAACTTCTCCCGCGCTCCCTCCTAGTCGTGACCTACTCCCCCCTCCCAAACCTCCAACCGATGAAGATCCTGATAAAAATCCTGATGAGCAACCAAATGACAATGATGAAAACCCTGCTGAAAATCCCAAAGCTCAGCCTGTTGGTGGAGGAAAACCCGACACGAAGAGACCGACGCGACCGAGACCAAACCCCAACAAACCACCGACAAGCCCATCAACTCCTGAATCGAATCCTGACGAAGAGCCAGAGGATCCTAATGATAATCCGGAATCTCCTGAACCCATTGACGAGAACGGACATCCTGACGATGAACCCGTGAAGAGACCTGGCACGAAAGGACCGCGACCTAGAGGGAAGACTCCTCCCCGACCACCTACCAAGGCCAGGCCTCCTAGTACAAAAACTCCTAACAGAAGACCAAATCCCCAGAATTCTGAAGCTGTCCCTGAAGACGACCCCAAGAACACAGATCCAAACGACGAAGACCCTTCTTTAAAAAGTAGACCAGGCACACGAATTTCCCCGAAGAGACCACCCAGAAGACCGAAACCCCAGACTCCAGAACCCAATCCTGACGAAGACTCACAAAATCCTGATGATAATCCTGAAGACCCAGACCCAAACGATGAGGACTTAAGCCCTGACTCTGCACCAGTGACTCCTTCAAAAACCAGACCTGGAACGAGAATTCCCCCGAAGCCGAGACCCACCAGAAGACCTGCGCCGCCGACTCCCGAACCTAATCCTGACGAAGATTCCCAAAATCCTGATGATAATCTTGAATATCCGGACCCAACTGACGACGACTCAAACCCAGACGAATACTTACCACCAGTGACTCCTCCCTCAACACCTAGATCTGGAACAAGGACGCCTTCAAAGCCCAGACCCACCAGACGACCAAAACCCCAGACGCCGGAACCGTTCCCCGAAGACGACTCCCAAAACCCCGAATCCCCAAACCCAACGGACGAAGACCCAACCCCTGATGAGGCCTCCCCTGTGACCCCTGCACCGTCTAAACGAAGGCCTGGAACAAAAAATCCGACAAAGACTAGACCCAGCAGAAGACCAAAACCGACGACAACACCACCTGAAACTGATGAAAATCCTGACGAAAATCCCGACCGCACAGGGGAGAGTCCGCTCTTCCCCTCCAGGTTCGGAGGCGCAGATGCCGATCCCGACGACTCTGCGACGTCACCCTCCAACAACCCCCCAGATTCCCCAGCTCACCCTCCTTTTACTTCTCCAGGCAAGGCGCCTGCCGGAAGTCCAAGTAGTCCATCATCAGCAAACGCAAATGCGCTTAGTTCAGCATCTAGCTTCGGATCTGGAGCAGGAGCAGGGGCGGTAGCCAGTGCAAGCGCGAGTGCCTCATCAAGCGCCGGATCCTACGGATCTCCTTGGGATCCCTGGAGAGCAGATCCTCCAGCACCAAACACAGACCCCACAGGACCAAATGCAGCTCCGCCAGTCAACCCAATCAAGCCTGTAAAGACTCCACTCCCATCGAAACCGATCCCCCCCGGGTTCAACCCCTTCCCAAACCCCTGGGCATCTGCCTACCCCCCGATCCCCAGTCCCAACAATCCGCCGGTCGACTCCGACCCAGCAAGTCCTCCACTCAAGGGAAAGAAGCCCACTCGAATGACACCTCCAAGACCCCTCGCCGGCTACACTCCAATCATCAGCATCTCCGGGACCTTCGATGCCAACGACCCCTCCTACCCCAGTTATGCCAACCCGTCGTCTAGTAACATTCCCAATTATCCATCAGCATTTGCCTCAGATTCCTCCTCCAGTTCAAGCTGCTCTTCATCAAATTGTAGAACCACTTCATCTACAAAACCAAGCAATCCATCCTACGCTAATCCCAATTACCCAACCTACCGTCCCACTCCGGCTAATGGTTTTGGATCGCCAGTAAATTCAAATCCAATGGGCTACAATCCTAATGGCCATTCCAATCCCAATTACAACAGTGGTAATCCATCCGGGGGATTCGCTAGTGCCGGGAGTTTTGCTAGTGCTGGGGCTAGTGCCAATTCAAATGGTCGAAGCACTGGATTTCAATCACGCATAAATACCGGGAGTTATCCAGGAAATAATGAGATTGCTGGATTCACCGGGAGTGGGGCAGGTAATGACAAAAAAAATGAAACAATGAAGGAAGAACACGGGAGTGGATGTGGACGAAAGGGAAGGACACTGGAAGAGGGAGGAATGAGGAACATAACTTAGAGATTTATGTGCACGAGAAAACATTATTAGATTTTGTTGTACGATGCATGTGATTGTTAACCCGTCAGAACGATGACGAAACCTAAGTGTGATTGCATGGTAATTAAATGAATCCATGATTGTGGAGATAGCAATCTGCATTAGTGCTAACAGACTGGGGGTTATAACATAGGCTAAGCCTGGAAATATGAGTGTGAGCAGCATGTGATTCAAACAGGTTTTGTTTGTTTCTGGATTTTTTTTCCTTTTTCATTGAAGAAATTCCGAAGTTGCGTAAAGGATTCGCACTTCCGTCTATGGTTTAAGGATAATTTTGCATGTGGATGGGTTGATGTGTATGGACGTCCGCACGAAATGGGCTCGCTTTGTATATTCTAGGTTCCGAGATATTTACGTTTTTGTCACCGCAGCTCCCATTTAAGCTAATGTTGAGGCCCGGGTGTATTATCTCAATAGCGAAGCGGTAAAACGGTTCAAGTCGACTTAGCTCCCAGCTGAGTTTTTGGAAAATATCTCTGAATCTCAGGGAGATAGCGAAATTTTCGTTACTATCTTTTTCGTAGTTCTCAATTCGCTCTACAAAAAAGGTTATAACGTAAATTTTGCTATCTGTCTTAGATTCCGAGATATTCACTGAAAACTGGGGTCCATGTTTAAAAAACTTTCGTTAAACAACTTCGTCAAAACATCTTGACTAAAAAAAACTTGAGGAAAAAAAAATTGAACAACTTGAACTTCGAAAACCTTGAAAAAACTTAAAAACTGCAGGAGAATAATGCAAAAACCCAATAATTAAACATTAATAACGCGTCAATCAAATAAATGAGGAATATCGATTATTTTTTTCACAAGAAACCATAACGAAATAGATAAGAACACTCTAAAATTTCATACACAAATGCAGACTTTACTAATATTCTTACAAAAGATAAGATAATCAGAAGGTTTTATTCGCGGAAGTTCAATTTGACTAAAGATGAATTAACGAAAAATTCAGTTTCCCAAAGCCGATTTAACCAGGTTTTTTTACGAAGTTTTTTTGACGAAGTTTTTTAAACGTTCTCCCGAAAACTGACCAATAGTCAAAATCGACTTGAGGATATCCGAGTACTTTGGCTATTTTTTTACTAGTGAAATACTACTTTTGTAGTCGGATGTCAGAGCTTTCATTTGAGCCCCATTTGACCCTAAGTTTCCGGACATTTTGCAATAATTTTATTATTTAAACTTTGGAGGTCTAACTTTGAATCTCGAAATTGGACTGTTAGAAAACATTGTAAAAATCTGAAAAACAATAGAAATTTTACTTCTAAAGATTGTTGAATCAATTTAAAAAATTCAATTTTTGAAAATTACGAGCATTGTCTGTAAATAATGTATAGACAATCGATTTGATACTTAAAATAATAAGGTGCCCGAAAGTTTAAGCAATTTCAATTATTTATTTATGAACAACAAATGCTTAAAAAAATAATAATTCTGTGCAAAATGTTATTTGAATGACAATGAAAATTAATGTTTTTTTTTTTAAATTGTTTCAAGCAATTTAATTGACAAATTTGATTGAAAGTAGTTGAATGTATAGTGTGGTCTGTATGAAACTGCAAAAAAGATACATGGATATCCTTGATCCGTTTTACCCCTTCGCTACTGATCTTTCCGACGTGATCTTCGTTGTTTTTTTTATTTTGATAATCTGAAACACTCCAATTGCCATTTAGTTTTATATAGCCCTAGAGTCTCCGAAAATTATGATTGCATAATGAAAAAGAAGTTAAAAAATAAGTGAACATTTACAACGAGCGTTTTTGAATAACATTGGGAAATAAACGCAATAGCGAGGAAATTGCAAATTAATAATCGACTGTATCTAATGGTCGTCACGTCGTCATTTGTCCCAGTAGCCAATGGTTGCCAGATCGTTAATTACTATGATAAATTATCCACTCACAATCCCCTCTCTATCGGACTTATTTCCGAATCTTTATCAAAAACGCTCTTGGAAAATTTTTAATTTTTTTTCTGCTTGTTTTTATGGTACAATCACATAACTTTTAAGGACTCCTGCGTGATGTAAAATCCACTGGAAATTGATGCATTTTAGATTATGAAGATGAAAAAATAATCTAGATAACGTTCGGAAGATAATCCATCCGGGCCTCAAATTATTTGTTGATCTTCTCTAGCAAAGTCATATCATTTTTCATACTATCAAGATAATTTTGGGCTTAAAATGTATGGAATATTATCAATATTATCGGAATATACATAACTCCATATCGACAAAGTGAGCCTTTTTATGCGGACGTCCACATAACTTTGTCAGCTAATTCTTTTAGTGTTTTTGGCCGTGATTTATAGGAAATTGTTGAATAGGATTGCTTTTCTTTTCAGTAGGCGGACAGCCTTCTTATGGACCTGCGGATTTCGATGCGCACGTAAATCTCATTCAGCAGCAAAATCTTGCGCTCCAGCGTCACATTCAGGAGCAGATCAGACAACATCAGGCTCAGTGAGTTTCTGTTTGATTTAAAATTGTTTAGAAGTGTTTTTAGCTTTTCTTGCCAGTCTGTGTTTTGTTTTTGCTTCTGCATGTCACAATTCTTCGTCACTGACGCAATCTTAGAACACTATTCTCAAGGCCATTCGTCACAGTGAAATTTAAGGCAATAGAATAGCTAGAAAGTAAGTTGTATAGATATTTTTTTTATAAAAAAGACCTCATCCGTCGGGCTGACTTTCCACAATATTACAATAGCGTTCGCACCATTTCTAATAGCGAATTATTATCACCAGTGGTTTCTATCAAGATTGTCGACCATAATTTTTTGTTTTGACAAAAAAAAAATTTCTGTTTTTTTTTTAGTGTTCAAACATTAAAAAATCGAAAACAAAGAATCCTAACGGACTGGCTAGGAAATACTATCAGAACATCTGTTAGTTCCTGCCGATCTGTCTATTGAAAAATCCACCACTTCCTCGCGCATTTCGTTTCAACTAAAATTTCTATAGAAAAATATTTAGATGTAATACTAGAAGTGCTCCAAAATTGAAAAAGGATGTTATCTGAATAATCTACAGAGCGAATCGAATATATCTTTATCACTGAAATGTGAACGACATGTTATTCTTCAAATAGACATTATTAATGAAAAAATGCTTCTTAATATTATATTATACCACATGTGAGACGGGAATATCAGCTCGTGTGATTGGCAGCCCTTGGCTTCGCCTCGGCCTTCCAACTTCACACTCGTGAAAAATCCGCCGCCATTTTATCGACATATACTATTAAAAAGGCTTGGGATATAATTTAGACTCTAGAACGATTCACTTGCTGTTAAGGGGAAACGAAACCCATGTGTCTATGTGAACCTTTAGAATTATATTTTCTCCTAGGGGAGCATGGGGCAAAATGAAACACGGGGCAAAATGAAACAGTGGGAAAATCTCGTCATCTAAAGGAGATAGAACATTTTTGAAAAGGACCTTTTTTGTAGCTTGTAAAATTCTCTACAAAAAAGGTTTCAATGAAAATCGTCCTATCTCCCTTAGATCACAAGATTTTCTTGCTGTTTCATTTTGCCCCACCGTCCCCTACAATTATTATTTTTTATTTCTGAAATTACTTCATTGACTCAACAATCCAATGATCCAGACGATAAAGTAATTTCATAGATATAAAGTAATAATTGTAGGCGAAAACACAATTCTAACAATTTATATAGACACGGGGATTCCGTCTCCCCTTAATGAGGGCTTCTCAACTATTAACGCTATTCGCGTTAATTAATATGTAATAGTTAACGAATGATATTAATAGGTAAGAAGTCTCGTTAACAACAACTAAATGCTTCCGACTTTTTCATCACACACAGAAAAACCTGAACGTAAATTACGTTTATCAAAATGCAATTTACGCTTAGCTTAACTTACTTAAACGTAATTAACGCTATAAAAATCGGAATTTAGGCTTTAAAAAACGTATCGCACGGTCAAAATAAAAACGTAAATTCCTACGCCTAAACAAAGCGTATTTTACGTTTATCAAAAATTCGAAAAAAATTGACGTAATTTACGGCAATTTTAAGCGTAATTTCGAATATACGAATACGAGATGGTAAAATACGTCTGTGTCATCCTAATTTACGTTTAGGTTTTTCTGTGTGTACAGGGATCCCCATCAATATTAAATTTCTGTAATATTGCAAGGATTTAACCCTTACATTATTGAAGGTTTAAAATATGTTAATTCAATTTTTCAAATAATATAATATTAATAATCTGATTTTTTACGAATAATGATATATTTAAAATTTGTTAATATGAAACTGTAAATTTACTACTAAGTGAATAATTCAAATTTCCTGAAAGGGGATTTTTGATTACACAAGTAATCGTCAATCTTCCTACCTGAAATTATTAATTGATAAAATAGTTGAAAATTTGAATATTTGAATTCATGATACTTAAGTACTCAAAAAATTTCAAGCGTGACGCTATCTAATTAAGGGCTACAATATTAACCGTAATAAAATATTACAAATTTGGCTATCCCTGGTGCAGCATGTAGGAATACGAAGGATTGATTCTAGTTAATTTTCTCTTCTCTTGGTGATGGCAATCTATGTGAATCTATCTGTCTTGATTTCTGTGTATTCTCTAAGGGCAATGGGCTCTTGGGCAACAGCTATGGCTTCTATAAACGACGGATCCAGACCTGTTAATCCTAATACCCAATTATACAGCAATACTCAAGTTAACCGGGGTTTCCAGCCTCAACCGCCGATGAATATCGGGGGACGTAATGGGAATCCCCCGGTTTATTCCGGTGGTTATAACGGCTTGAATTATCCAACGTACTATGGGAATCCTTCCAATAGGTGATGGTTTTTTTAACATCGTTTTGTGTGGATTTAAATAGGCAGTCGAATTTTTAGTGAGGGCGAGTGACGAGAAAACAACATTGTTTTATTCTTTTCTGCTCGATTCAGATTTGAAAACATGGGTTTCCCGTCCGGAGCAGGATTCCCATCTGCAGGAGGATTTCCATCCGGAGGAGGAGGATTTTCATCTGCAGGAGGTGATGGAGGGTCCTGGGCTTGGGGAGTCGCCAATGCAGGGCCCGGCGGTAATTCACAAGCTGGAGAGATAGGGCCTGTGAGTATTCATTCATTAAACTTTATAGAAACGGAAGGAGAGAGGGGAAGGCAGAGGGTACGCTGTTAAAACTTTTCGTCTGAATTTTCCGTGTCAAATCCCGGAAATTTTTATTATGTTGAATTTCTATTGAAACTTCAGGATATTTTGGGATTGAAAAATCAAATATTCCATAGATTTTCCGTTCGAATTATCAGAAAATCAATAGAATACTTGATTTTTCAGTTCAATTATCCCGTGAAAATTCGGAAAAATCAGGAAAATTCTGAGAAAAATTGAAAGTTCACATCATTTTGTTTCTGAATATGCATGTTTCATTGGAAATTCAATCAAACTGTGGGATTTCCGTGTCACTTCCATTGAAAGCTCATGAATTTTCTTTAATTCTACGGAAAGCTTAAAATTTGATAATCGTTTTTCCCCGAAATCGTATTCAATACCATTTTCATGAGAATTACTACCAGATTTGCCATGAAATTTCAAAAAAATTCCAACAGTATCGAATGAACCGCTAATTTCATTATTATTTAATTCAAATAAAGAAATTTTCTTAATATATATACTAATATCGAACTTATTTGAATCAAATAACAATTTATTGATAATGAAAAAAACATTTATTTAATACAAACAGAACCTCATAACGAAATTCCTCAAATTTGAATAAAAACTTCATTTTTATCATTTAACCCTCTGACTCGCAAACCGTACGAGTCAACGAAAATTGACAAATCATACAAAGGAAATGTTGATTTTCACGTAAGTCACGGGATTAAATCTTGATTTTTAAAAATTTTCCCTTTGAAAAACTAAAACGATAATTAAATTGAGAAAAAAATTACGATTCCGAATGTAACCAGAGTTTTCTGGAATCTTTTGCAGTTTTTAATAATCTTTTAATTTACCGTAAGGGTACTTTAAAAATTTGTATATTTCGACTCATGTATTCAAACATGAGCTTAGAGCTACGGCATAGGGAGCCTATTCTCGAATTGAAATCGTACGTTCGAATTCGACAAGACGCATGCAGCTCATGGTATGCCTTATGGGTCGCATGCGATCTGCCGAAATCGAACGCACGATCCTATCGTAAAAAGGAGAAAGGAAATCGATCTCGAAATATCTCGAAAATCTCGAATAAGCGTAAGCGTAAGACTGAAACCGAAGCGCCACTACGTGAGGAGAGAAGGCGCGTGCGTAGAACGCGCGGCCGATCTCGTTTCCATTAGAGAATAGACTCTCTGTTTGCGCGCTCGCTACTCATCCCCTTCCACGTCGAACTTTCTGCCCCCATAAGTAGTGGTGATATGATTCCGAGTCAAAGCGTTAAATAAACTTTATTTGAATCACATACAGTCGAGGCTTCATATAAGATACTTCGAGCTTCGAGCGCTCGAGGTCTACCCCCACTCTCGGCACTTTTATCGCCTCCCGAATGTTTGGTTCCGTGGGCTTCTTATAAGATACCTATGTCCTCGATCATTTTTCAACGGGAAAAGAGTGATCATTTTTCAACGGGAAAAGAGTGATTATAAGGATCAAACGGAGTTAAGGGTCAAACGGGAGGGACGAACGAAGTGGTCATAAGGGTCAAATGACGTCAAGGGTCAAAAGTTCAAATGTGAGAGTCAAGTGAAGTAATCAGAAGGGTTAAACGATCGCAAGGGTCACCTCTTTCCTTCGACGCTATAATTATTAAAATGATGACGCAGAATTATCTTAATAGACTAAAGCCTAATTAAAATTCAATTTATTTACGGACTTTCAATAATTTGTATATTTCAGCTGTCCAGGGATGATTATTCTCAAGTCCCCCAACAATCTCCCAACATCAACTGCCTTTCTATCACGCGGGGTTATGTTTAAAGAGAAAAGGAAACGTGGACTATACGAATTCAAATCATTAAACTCGTGTAAATTAATTAGTTATTAATATCCGTTCAGTAAAAATGAATATTCCATAGAATTCGGGCGTCACGAGCGAGCTATCTTATTTCAAGCTCTCTACAAGCGCGCGTAGTGGGGGTATACGGATTCCTGGAATTCCATTCTCCTACTGTCGTTAAGGTATCTTATATAAAACCTTCACAGCAAAAACGAACGTCTGAATTTCACACATCTTTTGTAGACATTTTTCAAACACTAAGAAACGTCTGAATAAAATGAAAATTTGTCTAAATTGCAAACATGAATTAAGATGTTTAGTCACCAATTCGTCTGAAATTTATTCTATTCCGAATTTTATTCCGTCGAATTCTCTTTGATTCATTATCAATATTTATAAGGTATTCATGAGAAAATGAAATTCAATGAATTCCATTTCTTCATTTCAACAAATGAATAGATCAGCGCACGCGAGGGCGCGCGCATAGATCTTGTAATAAATAAATTTAAACAATTAATGTTTAATGTTTCGTTCCCCAGAAGAGGTCAACTGTATCCTCATACGAGTATCCCCACGTGTGAATCGAAAACGACATCCATCAACGAAATTGATTCACATGTGGATCTAGGATTCGTTTACGAAAACTTTCGTTCCCCAATGCGATACGTGAACGGAGCCACTTCCGTTCACAAATCCGTTCACCTCACACTCGAGAATAGGCCCCCAATTCCGTAAAATTTCCTACAACTACATTTCGCTCCGGAATTACGGAACAGATGCGTAATTTTTATTGAATATTTCTCTCTGTGTCTAACATAATTTACGAAATTTTAGGTCGCACCTGGATTTGAATCACGATTCGCTGAAGATATCCCATCGCAAGGTGGTAGCTCATACAGTAGCTTCTCCAGCTCGAGCTCCAGTTCCGGGGTTGGACCGGATGGCCAGGTTCAGTCTCGCAAGAGTGTAACCACTGGCATCAACGACAATGGGAAAGTCTCCATCAAGACCGTCCACGATCCATAAGTCGATCATTCTACTTTCATATATTCTAACATTCCTGATGCGTCATCGATGGCAATTCTCAAGAACAGATATCAAATACCTTTGAAACTGATGAATGTTCCACACTTCTGCTTAGAGTTTTACCGACAAAAAACAATTGATTTTATAATTATTGACCAACCGTGAGTGTTTTATTCCCTTGAAGTGGTAATATTTATTGTCGCAATTTATACTTAAGGTATGCGCCAGTAGAAATGAAAGGAGAATCTTTCATAGAGGCAATTTTGTATACATTTTGATGAACGAATAATAAATCATCTTAAGATACTCATAAATAGATGTTGTTTTGTGATTTTTATCAATAGGTATTCATAGGATACTATTCGTAGAATGAATCAACTTTAAATTGTTTGTTCAGATTGTTGAGAGAAACCAACTATAAAGAGAGATTTTTATTATATTCAAAGAAATTATTCAGAGAATAAAAGTTTCTCGTTTCCAGCACAAAAGTCGAAATTTTTAGAACCCCATTGCGCTGAAATCTAACGAGAAAAAATTCTCGAAATTCCACCTTGAAATCGGAGAAAAATGTTCTAATTCTGAATAATTTTTGCTTTAATTCAAAATTTAAAACAATTTTAATTCTCAAAAATTATTAAACAATCAACTCCCAATTTCTCAGTTTGATTTTTAAATTAATCATTTAATCGTCAACCTTTCGACGTCAAGCACTGATTTATCAAATATTTAAAAATTCGAAAAATCGTGATTGATGATTAATTTAGTAACAATTAAAACATTTTACAATATAGTTGTAACTATAATGTAAAGTTGTAACTATACTGATTTTATAGGTAATAAAATAATTTTAATTCTATATTATGATCTGGCCTATATCTGTTTGTAATTAGGCCCTGCAAACTTGAAACTTTTCTCTTTTACGTTTGTAAACTTCATTGGAGCTGCATGTGAATGAGTGGATCGATGCAATTTTTCATGCCTAAAAATAAATGTTTGGCTTCCGATTTGGCCAACTCATGAATCACCTCCGATCACCTTCCTCCACAGCTACTTTGTGTCCTAAAGCCAAATCATCCAAAAGAGATAAAGCCTTATCTCCTTTGAGCGTCAACGTTGGACGTAGTTTTGCTGAATGGTGGTTGGATTTTATCGTCTATTAAATCTCTGCCAGTCATCCCGGAATTTTGCCCGCGGGGTACATAGATACCACGTGCAAAACTAGTCGAATAATACGGATCTGTTTGTGGTCTGACGAAGTGGTTTTTAGGGGGCCCGAATGATGGGGCAAAATTACTCGGAATTTGCTTGTAAATCTGCAAAAGAATGACACGATTCTTTATTCTGCATACGCTATTAAAAAAATTTGCCTGTATTTTGCGGAAAAAGGACTTGAATTCGATTTAAGGGGAAAAAGTCAATGGAATTTCAAGTGTCAAAATATAAATTCCATAATTTACGCAGTGAGAGCAAAAATTAGATTTCGCAGAAAAACTATATGTTTCACGTGAGAAAATTTAATGCAGTGAAATAGATTTACTTGAAGGAAATTAACCAACTAGACAGACAAAAATTTAATACTTTTCACAAAAATTAAATTTTTGTCGTGATCATCAAAAATATCTCTAGAAGAATTCGAACTGTTGGCAGGAAAGAATATAATCTATTGTTAGATAATTATTCGATCTGAGAAAACTCCACAGGTTTATACCATACGATGAATACATTGACGAGGAAAGAATATTTTTTTCCCAAAAAAATTGTCCCCTCAAAATTATTTAGTTTTCCCAATAACACAGTTTTCGGCAAGAAAATTGTAGTTTCCTCTTGAAATTTTCATTCATTCCATGTAGAACGAATATATTTACCTGAAAGACATATAAATGTCTTACGAGAGCAATTACTACTACGAAGATTATCATTTTTTGGGGGAAACTGTTTTTGTCATCTCTTCAGGAGAATAAATTAGAAAAAGTGCATAAATTTTCCAGTGAAAATGAATATTCACTGCCAAATTTTCATGAATTTGCAGGTAATTTCTTTCAAATTCTTGAAATTTTGAAGGAATTCCCTAAAAATTCAGAAGAATCTGGAGTTCGAGGAGAGATTTCTCTGAATTTTGCTGATTTTTCGTTAATTTTTCCGGAATATTTAAATTGAAATTCACAATTCCCACTGATTTTTCCATTAAATTATGAATTTTCAATGACAAAATTCCTTGAAATTTCAGTGCAAATGGAAGTAACATTTCATCAGAAGTTTTTAAAACTCTCATCGCAAATTTCAGTGTAAAATTGTTGAGATTCTAGCATCTGACTATTTACATCCACGATCTTCGCATATATCTTCCATTTATTAATTTTTTTCAAACTTTTTTGCGAAGTTACCTGAGGTATGTTCCTGGAAAAATCCGAGCGATCGGGAAAATTCAACGGAGGCGCCCGCTCCGGATAAATGCCACGAACGCCGTCAATAACTGGGATATCTTCGACCTTGATATCCCGCGTCTTTGTAATAATGGAAAACTTTATCGTAGTTATCAAGTTTCCTTCGGAATCCCTTACGGTGCTTGTTGAGAAATCACATAAACCATTCTGACAACTCTTTGCTGGTCTTTTAGCAGGAGAGGTATTATCCAGATGAATACATTTGGAGGGTGTGTCATCCTGGAAGAGTTAAAAATACATTCACTGCATGATAAAGGAGTTTTTTCGCATGACTAAATCATTATACGAATAATTTAAAACTAATATACGACGCACAACATCGCCACAGACAGGAGAAAATCAATCTTTGTTGTTGTTCTTAAATATTGATATGCGCCAGGCCAAATAATATTAGTTTTAAACACTCCCAAACGACTGAAGCATTCCATTTCTTGATACATAAAATAATCCACACGGTTGAAAAAATAAGATAAGTATTTTGAAAAAAATTGCTGGCGGCTGTATCTTCGATACAGTTGTAATTGTACGTGGATACGTCCATGGTTTTTCTCGAATTTCCTAAAAACTCCTTGAATTCTCTCGATTTTTTTAGAAATTCCCTGAATTTCCTCGAAATTTTTAGAAAATTCTAGATTTTTATAGCAAATTCCAGATTTTTCTATAAAAGTTTAGATGTTTCCAGAAAATCTCCCGTTTTTTTCGAAATAAATTACAATTTTAAGGGATGCTTAGCGCTGATTGGCAGAATACCGACAGTTGGATATTATTACACGAAATTAATGAAATTTGTGGATCCGTGGTAAAATTCGCAAGGATTTTTCTAGGTGACGATTTCGTTGTGAATTAAATATGTTGAACGTTTGTTTAGGGTTTAGGGTTGTTTAGGGTTTACATAACAATTCAATCGTATCGTGTTTATAAAAAATGTCTTATCATGACGAGAGGGTGCGAAATCGCGAATTCTTTTCTAATAAATGGAAAACTATGATGTTCAGTGAAGGAAATGGAAGACCATAGACGTATCCACACAATAAAAAATTTAGTGTTAAATTAGCTCTACCCTTACGGTAAATTCAAAGAGTATTGAAAACTGCAAAAAAATTGCACAAAACTCAATTAGATTCGGAATTCTAATTTTTTTCTCAATTTAATTATCATTTTCGTTTTTCAAAGAAGAAATGTTTAAAAGTCAGGATTTAACCCAGTGTCTTATGTGAAAATCAACATTTCCATTGTAATCACAGATTAAAATCTGAATTTTTTTCATTAGATGTGAAAAAATCAAGAATTTTTTGACACCTCATAAAAAATAATCCACCGCTTTATAAACAAGTTTATTAGTTATTTATAAGAGGGAAATGTTTGAAAAAAATGACAATTTTTTGCGAAATTTAATTTAGATAATACTGACTGGGTATGAATTTTTCCAAATTTTTTCCGTGCATTTTAGTTGAAAAATTAAAAATCTGAATATATCCAAAAGTACAGCGTAGCCCGGCCGAAGGGTAGGGCTACTTTAAATTGACACTGATCGGTGTCCCAGGAAGTCCACACCGGATTTTTGTACTGTGTACGTAAAATTACGGCTGTATCAAAGATACAGCCACCCGCAGATTTTGCTCCATGTGTTCAACACTTCAACATTTGTAATAACAGATTTTGAAACTGCATAATGAAAACTTTCGGTTGACATTATGCCACCAACCGCCTTAATGATCCTGCATCAACCGCTAAAAGATGCCACGATACCCGAAAATTCCCCACAAACTCTTGACCCCCCCGCCCCCTCCGACAATTCTAAGTATGCATTTACAGCCTCTCAACGACTTCCTATAAATCCATAACGACCCGAAGCACTTTTACGACACAAACCCGCCTAAAAATCTATTTTGAATTCACTCGGTAGGACAGGTCGTTCAGCTTCAACGATTGTATGTGGTGCAATAAATTTGTTCCCCTGGCATTCGTTATATATATCTTATTCCTTTTCAGTTAACGACTTCTTCCCCCCAGAATCTTTATGGACCAGTTTCTCAGTCGAGCCAAACACTCGATTTTAAAGTTAAATCATTGGAATTGTGACAAGTAATAGACTTACAGATGTCGAATCACCATCAGAACTTCTGGGTTTATCGAAGTTGTGTGGTTGCCGTATATCACTCATTTGAGGGAGCAAGTTAAACTGTTGGGAAGCACTCGGTGGTTCAGGCCCTGAACTTAAATCCACGAATTCAATAAGATCTGGCTTTGACGCGTATGAAGTTAAACTCAAACTTCGTTTCTCCGGTTCGAAAGCAATTTTCGAGGATACATCGAGGCATTCAATGGCTCCCATTGACGAAATACACAGAGTTAGGACTAGTTGTATTATACCCATTTCTATGGCCTCAACGCTCGGTCAGTTGAGGATGTTTGCAAAGGAGTTTATTTTGAAATTGTTGATTGAAAGCGTCTTGGCGAAACTGTCGTGGGGTTTTCTCAGGAGGGGGAATAATTCGATTCGGATGTGCATGGAGATAATGAGAACGTGAACATTATGGTGATTAAGGACATGTAACAATAAATAACTTGAAGTAGTATATCCAAACTCCACGTAAGTTGTTTAGTGTAGTGAGGAAAAGTTAATGCAAAATACCAGAAAAAAGAATGATGCATCATTGATAATTTATTACATCACTACAAAAACCAGGTGTCGGACAGCTGTCTGAATTTATGATGTCACATGGTAAAAAACATCTGAATCCTCAAAAGTGTCTGAAAATCTGACTATGTCTGAAAATTTCAACCACCGTTTCTGTCTGAAAATGATGGAACACATTTTTTGTGTCCGAAAAATTTCAGATATTCATGTTCAGATATTCTCTGTCTGAAATTTAGTTATTTATGAGCGATTCAAACATTTCACTATTAAGATATCTCACCTGATTCAGACGGCAAAGTCCATTCAAACATTAATTTTCAAGATATTTCTCATGTTTGAAAAGTTGACTTATCCACTACAAAAACTAGGTGTCTGACAACCATCTGAATTTAAGATGGCAGATGGCAAAAAAACGTCTGAATCTTTAAAAGTGTCGGGAAATCTAACTGATGTCTGAAAATTTCAAGCACCGCTTGTGTCTGAAACTGATGTCTCTATCTTAATTTCAGATATCTTGGTGTCTGAAATTGAAATGCCTATATATATTAGAAATGGAAAACTATGATGTTCAGTGAAGGAAATGGAAGACCATAGACGTATCCACACAATAAAAAATTTAGTGTTGAATTAGCTCTACCCTTACGGTAAATTCAAAGATTATTGAAAACTGCAAAAAAATTGCAGAAAACTCAATTACATTCGGAATTCTAATTTTTCTCTCAATTTAATTATCGTTCTCGTTTTTTAAAGCAGAAATGTTTAAAAGTCAGGATTTAACCCAGTGTCTTATGTGAAAATCAAGATTTCCATTGTAATCAAAGATTAAAATCTGAATTTTTTTCAGACATTTCTCATGTTTGAAAGGTTGACTCATCCACTGAAAAAACTAGGAGTCTAACAACCGTCTGAATTTAAGATGGTAGATGGCAAAAAAACGTTTGAATCTTTAAAAGTGTCGGAAAATCTAACTGATGTCTGAAAATTTCAAGCACCGCTTGTGTCTGAAACTGATGTCTGTATCTTAATTTCAGATATCTTGGTGTCTGAAATTGAAATGCCTTCATTGATTCAGACACATTTTAATGTCTCAAAAGTGTCTACAAAATTGTCCCAAAAGTGATTGAAAAGTGTCTACACAAGTATCTGAAATTCAGACATTAGTTTCCGCAGTGATGAATTCTAACTTTAACGACACAGAAAAAATTAGTTCAGCTGAAAAATTATGTGGTCTCGTGAAAAGATCTTTTGACGTGTTGAATAAATTTACTTCTAGATGAAAACGAAACTTTCCACCAAAAGATGGTAATTTTCGTAGTAAGAGTTGTTCTCGTGAGACATTTATATATTTTATTTATATGCCTTTTGGGCAAATACATTTGTTTTACAGAAAATTCTATGAGGCTTCGACTGGATGATTCAAATACGAAAATGTGAAAAATTTAATTTGAAAATTTAATTCTTCAAAACGATAATCCATTGCGGTAAAGGAGACCCATTGGATTTATTCGTAGAAATATCAACGAGTGGGGATGAATTATTGAAATGAAGTTATCGGATTCTTTGGAATGATGTAATGGAGCTTTTGGACGGGATTCAATTTCCGGAGGGATATAAGCATGGATTATTATAGATATTGATGTGGAAGGGGGAATTCTTGATGAAGCCGTTTTGGGGATTGACATAATTTTTCTTGATGAAATGAAATTCGTTAATTCTTCATCCCGAAGTTTCTGGGATCGATGAGTGTGGAGATCATGTTGGCTGTCATATTAAAGTTAGAATTGTCGATGGAAACCCTCATTTATGATTTATGATATTGGAGAAAATGAAGTTTTACACATTTGATGGATTATAATGTAACGCAAAGGAGGGGGAGTTGCGCCCCCTGCTCGCTTCGCTCGCCCCCCCCCCCTTATAATCTGAGATGAGAGCAACGATTTCCATGTACATTGAGACTGAGATCATCTCTCCAAAGTTTTGTCTCGGAAAGTGTCTCGCGGTATCACTAGAAATAAGACCACTATTTAAAAAAATATATAATTAATTGGACGAGTTGTTTGGGAGATATTGAACAAAACAGTTTTCAATAAAAAGTTGAAGCTCGTCTAACCCGAGTGGTTTAGAAGATTTGTCGAACTTCGCCGACCTAGAATCCCATTTTGTGATATCATATGAGCTATAATTTGATCATCATATATTAATTTTTACTAAATTTCGGGATAGAAATGAAGAAACGATGACTCATGATACAGTTTTATAGAACGGTAGGATAATTTTTATCAAAAATTTCTCTCCATGTAACTGTTACCACGATTCGTTAACTATTAACGAATCGTGGTAATAGTTGAAAAGTCTCGTTTGGTTCGACTAAACCGTTCTATCAGTGTACTGATAGTTTAGGGGGATCTTCGAATCTATTTGGAGAGATGTAGACGAGCGGGAATGAATTATTAAAATAAAGCTATTGGGTTTTCTGTAGTGATGTAATGGAGCTTTTCGGTGGGATTAAATTTCCCTTTGGAATATGAATATGGATTATTCACGTTATCTTTGGGAGGGTATATTCATGTGGAATGAGGAATACTTGATCAAACCGCCTAGGGAATAAGAACAATAATTTTTGTTGAAATGAAATACGTCAATTCTTAATCCGGAAATGTTCCGTTTCGATATGGGTGAAGATAATGTTTAATGATATTAAAAAAGATTGATTTTTTTAATAACAATATATATTTATTGGGAATTCAATACTTTTCATGCTTATTTCAACTTTTATACTTTCCCATCGATTTGAGAATCTGTTTTTTTATTTAAACATTTCTAAACAATTACAGTCCAATTTGTATGTATAATTCTCGTTATAATAATGAAAAATATATCAACTTTTTACAAATACTGTGGTAATTTTGAACTAATAACAATACACTTCAGATTTTTATGGAATTTTTTAGATGAAACTCGTAAATAAAAACTCTCTTGTTATAACGAGAGAGTTTTATATAATCTCATTAGGAATCCTTGTGCATGATGGACAAAATTTTTGGTCCCTGAAATCCTTAATTCATAAATCAATAATTCATGGCATTTATGAAGTTCATTAAATACATTAAATGATTGTTTCCTTAATTATTTGATTATTTACTTGATTGACTATTTTAACAACAAATATCTCGCTCTCTGTCACCCTTTCTAAAAAAAAACAAGAGCAGCATCTTGAATCGAAAATGGGAACTCGAACATGGCGCATATCTCTAACGAATAGACAAACTAAGGCGGCTTTCATGACTGCAATCGTCTTTCGTCGAATTTTCATGAAGCCCGCCTAGTACACAAAAGAGAATTGAATAGAACTCTATGAAGCATGAATAAACGAATCATAATTGTGCAAATCATTTAGGTCAGAGCAAAATAGAATAATTCTACTTTCTTGATATTGCGGTAACTAAGGTTTTTCTTCGAACAAAGTTGATTAGAACTAATAGCTGGAATTACGAGATTATTTCACATTTTTTACGTTAAGAATCATTTCATGTTCATCGACTCGAAGTGAAAGATGAACAATCGAACGTACACCGTTAAAGATTTTTGTCTGATATTTCCGGTACACTTTTTGGAAATTTTTATCGAATTTAATTACCACTGAAATTTCAAGCATTTTCGTTATCGCAAATTCAGAATTTCGTGGAAAATCAAAGAGAACTGTACATTTCCGTTCCGTTTTTCCCTAAAAGTGAATAGAAATTAGAAAATTCTGGTAATTAATATTATATTTAATGCGATTTAGGGGAGAAAAATCAGGAAATTTTTGATTTCACTGAAAGTCAATGTCATTTGACATTGAAAATTCATACTAGACTGGATATTCAAATAAATTAAGGAATTCTCGTCTGTACGCTGCTTAAAGTTCTAGAATTTTATCGAATTTTCAGTGCAACCTGAAACTTCATGATTTTTTCACCTTAAGGGTGCCAAGTGAATTTGAAAAAAGATTCAAAAAAAATTTTTTCTTTCCCTCCATCATTGGAGAATTATGTATTCATTCATCCGACGAAATTTCAAACCCGCAACCGGAACTAGACATCGAGAAAATAAATGCGGAAAATCCTCTATTTCGCGTGACAAACCTCGAGAAAGCATGGGATCAAATGGGTACGGCGGGTTGAAATATCTCTCTTATTCACCCCGGTACCCCATTGTTTTTTGTCGCCATCACATTGAACACATCATTCCCCATATCTTCAAATTTTTTCAAATTTTTCTTGAATTCCTAGGGGGTTGAAACGTTCAATTTAATCAAAACTCCATAACAGGCCGTGTATAAGACTGATTTTGTTTATTTAATTTCTCGATATCCATAAGTTCTGAAATTTAAAAATTGTCATCGATGTTCACCATCTGTCTAATACTATTAATTAAAAAAATTATAACTTTGTTGGTGAATGTCAATTTTCAAGGTCATCGCCAAATTCACTTGGCACTCTTAAATCGCATCCACAATCAGCGTCACTGTTCTGAAAATTAATAGTCAACTGCCTATGAAATTTAATTTTTTTCTCACAATGTATATTTGAATGGAGTTCCTTATATCGTTGTTCTACAATCATTCCATCCTAGTTTCTCCAAGCGCCTAAAGCAACCACATGCTAACAATTTAATTACTTCCCCGAAACTGCACCCAAGGGTCGTCCGATTGTCCCATTATTTCATCATGATTCATAATGTCTGGGGTTCATAAATATTTCAACGCATAG